TGTTCCATCCCTGTAATACCAGAAACTCAGGAGGCTGAGGCAGAAGGATTACAAGTTCAAGGACAGTTCTAGCAATTTAGTGAGATCTTGTCTCAAAATTTAAAAAATTAAAAGGGACAGGGATATAGATTAGTAGTAGAATACCCCTGAGTTCAATAACAGTACCGAAAGAAAATAAAACAAAATGTATCAACTTATAAATGTATCAACTACAGACTTAGATGAAAATGAAAGTAATTTTCAAAAAGTGAATCAAATCTCAGACAAAAAAGTATAAAATTCCAGGTGCTTATGATAATAACTAGTGAAGATTCACTGATTATTGTATTGAAAGAAAAGGAAACATTTTAAAGTTGACTGTGCTACTAATACTAAGGTTAAATTAAGTGTTGCCCAGTATTTCTGTTTTGATGTTTAAGATATACAATGTAATACAGTTTTTTTAAAAAAATAAAAGGGCTATCTACTTTTTGGGAGGGAGGGGGGTACCAGGGTTTGAACTCAGGGGCACTGGACCACTGAGCCACATCCTCAGTCCTATTTCGTATTTTTATTTAGAGACAGGGTCTCACTGAGTTGCTTAGCACCTCGCTTTTGCTGAGGCTGCCTTTGAGCTTGTGATCCTTCCATCTCAGCCTCCCAAGCTGCTGGGATTACAGGTGTGTGCCACTCTGCCTGAAAGGACTATATATATATATATTTAAGTTGTAGATGGACACAATACCTTTATTTTGTTTACTTATTTTTATGTGGTGCTGAGGATCCAACCCAGTACCTCACACATGCCAGGGATGCACTCGACCACTGAGCCACCACCCCAGCTCCAGGCTACATATTTTTAATACAGAAAAAGAACAAGCAAAAAGAAAATTAAAGTCACTCATAATACTATCATTAAAGATAACACCACAGTTAATATTTTAGTGAACATGTTTGAAGTTTTATTTTCCCCTATTTTCAAAAATTTACCATTAATGACTTTCTATGCAAGTATATATATTTTTGCAACATTATTCTTTCTTTTTGGTTCCAGGGATTTAACTCAGGGGCACTTGACCTCTGAGCCACATCCCCAGCTCTATTTTTGTGTTTTATTTAGAGACAGAGTCTCACTGAGTTGCTTAGCACCTTACTTTTGCTGAGGCTGGCTTTGAGCTCACGATCCTCCTGTCTCAGCCTCTTGAGCTGTTGGGATTACAGGCATGCACCACCATGCCCAGCTCTGCAACATTCTTAAAGTCTGCACATTAACAATTGACTAGAGGGGCTGGGAATGTAGCTTAGTGGTAGAGCAATTACCTAGATTGTGTAAGGCCCTGGGTTCTATCTCCAGCATAGAAAGAAAAAAAAAAAAAGAATGAATTGATATGTTTTATATACTACACTATAGTATGGATATATATATTAATAATTTGGGTGTCTCTTTTTTTTTTGGCTAGCTAAATTCTTCATATAGCAATAAGTGTTCTCATCAAATGCTTTCACAAAGCCAACATTAGATAAATTCCTAACAGCAGTATGTTGTCAAAGAATACATATATTGTAAAGTTTCTGCTTTTCCAAGAGATTATAGCAATAACACCAACCCCCCTTCCAACTCAGAATGAGAACTTGTGTTAAACTTAAAAAGGACAATAGGTATTATGCATTAATGAAATATATATTAATAGAATACTGACCAATTATGAAGAATAAATAGATTATGGAAACTCTGAACTTAATTTTTCTCATTCACCAAAATTCACTTGAAGCCAAAATATAACACTTATACAGATAACTAAATCATTTTAATGGCATTGACCAGAATGTCTTTCAAGATTAATATAATTTGGGGCTGGGCTTGTGGCTCAGTGGCAGAGCGCTTGCCTTGCACATGTGAGGCACTGGGTTCGATCCTCAGCACCACATAAAAATGAATAAATAAAGATATTTAAAAAAAGATTAATAAATTTTTATCATTTTGAAGTTTGAAGACACTATATAATTTGCCCAGTAAATAAAATGTAGCTTTGGGCTGAGGATGTGGCTCAAGCGGTAGTGCACTCGCCTGGCATGCATGGGCGCTGGGTTCAATCCTCAGCACTACATAAAAATAAAAGATGTTGTGTCCACCGAAAACTAAAAATAAAATAAAATAAAATGTAGTTTTCACAACAACTTTGTTTTGTTTTCTAAATCAAAGTTGTATCATATGCAGAAAAGACACTATCCTATTCCTTTGAAAGAAGTTATACTTTTATAAATATACTAGAAATTCACACAGAAAAGCTGCATTTTATCTTCACTGCACCTTATGTGAACATAGATAATATTTCCATGTCGATCGACATTAATTTTTCCAGGAACACAAGAAATTCTTCTTTCTGTTTCTTTTGTTAAAAGTTTCTTACACAAACAGCATCTATAACACAAAGAAGATAGAAAAATTATTTTTAAAAACAGTAAATTAAGAAATATGGCTGTATTATATATCATACTAAAGGAAAAACATTACCTATATAATGTTGCAGCATTACTCCGAGAATCTGGATTCAAGTACTCAGGATCAAACAGTCTCTCAATCTTCTTACAAAAAAGTTTACTATTAATAATAAATTACCAAAAATTAATTATCTATATTTACTTTATAAAAATATTTTATAGTGAGAAAAATAAGCACTGTTTTACACACACACACACATATATATATGTAATAACATTAATAAATTTCTAAAGCTGCGCTCTCTCTGGGAGTTTATAGTACATTTTTGGTATTCTAAGTAAATAAACCTAACAATGACAACTGCCTGATCAAGAATCTATTTTCATCTGAAAATAAGACTGATGATAAATATGTGCCTCTCCTTCTCTCCTTTGTTATTAGAATATTCAAAATTAAATATTTTGAGAATTTAACAATCCAAGTCTATCAATAACTAGGTATTTGATCTTTTATTTTTTTTTGGTACTGGGATTGAACTTAGGTGCAATCAACCACTGAGCCACATCCCCAGCCCTAATTTGTATTTTATTTAAAGACAGGGTCACACTGAGTTGCTTAGTGCCTTACCATTGCTGAGGCTGGCTTTGAATTTGTGATTCTCCTTTCTCAGCCTCCAAGAGTCACTGGGATCATAGGTGTGCACCACCATGCACAGCTAGGTATATGATCTTTAGCAACTTCCTTTTGCTGAAACTTTTTTCTTATCTATAAAATGTGATTAATAATTCCAAATTCATAAGACTTTATAAAGATTAAATGAGGGGCTGGAATTGTGGCTCAGAGGTAGAGCACTTGTCTATTACATGCAAGGCCCTGGGTTCGATCCTCAGTACCACATAAAAATAAATAAATAAAGGTATTGTGTCCAACTACTTCTAAAAAAAAAAGATTAAATGATATAGTTTTTAAAGAGTTCTAGGTATAGTGTTAAGAATTAAATAAATGTTAATTACTTTATTATTACGTGTAATACTCTATATCATTCTCCTTAAGGACTGAATTCTTCATCTTCTGCATTATCCATTTCTTCCTCTTTAATGGATCATCCTGATCAGCACATAAACATGATTTAGTGCCTACTCCTCTTTATTTTGCACTAAGGATCGAACTCAGTGGTGCTTTACACTCAGTTACATCATCCCCAGTCCTTTTTATTTTATTTTTTCTTTGAGACATGGTCTTGTTAAATTGCTGAGGCTCTCACTAAGTTGTTGAGGCTGGCCCTGAACTTGTGATTCTCTTGCTTCAGCTTCCCAAGTAGCAGTGATTAAAGGCATGCACACTATGAAAAGTTCAGTACGTCCCTTCTTTAAAAATATTTTCTCTTCAGGGGCTGGGGATGTGGCTCAAGCGGTAGCGCGCTCGCCTGGCATGCGCCCGTCAAGAACTAAAAAAAAATAAATATTAAAAAAAAATTCTCTCTCTCTCTCCCTCTCTCCTCTCTCACTCTCTCTTTTAAAAAAAATATTCTCTCTTCAGCCTACCTATTCATAATATCTGCTGCTGAATTTTTTTTTAAAGAGAGAGTGAGAGAGGAGAGAGAGAGAGAGAGAGAGAGAGAGAGAGAGAGAGAGAGAGAGAGAGAGAATTTTTAATATTTATTTTTTAGTTGGTGGACACAACATCTTTGTTGGTATGTGGTGCTGAGGATCGAACCCGGGCCAGGCGAGCACGCTACCGCTTGAGCCACATCCCCAGCCCTGGTACCTCCTTTTGAAACTTTCTTTCCTTCTGCCTTTCCTTCTATTTCACTGGTTCCTTCTCAGGTCCCTCACAGGCTACTTCTCCTCTGTTGAACCTCTAAATACTGAGTATTCTAATTAACACTCTCGTTAACAATTAATAAGTAAAAACAGCATTTACAATAGCATCAAAAATTAAATAATTTGGAAATTTTAATTAAAAAGGGAAATTTCTCTACATCAAAGATAATAAGACATTACTGAATTAAGGCAAAGAAGACTCAAAGAAATAGAGGGTTATATCATATTCATGGACCAAAAGGCTTAATATTAAGATGTTAAATTCTTCCCAATTCATCTATAGTTTCAATATTAATCCCCAAATTCTAGCAGATTTGTGCATATATGAAAAACACAGGCTAATTATAAAATTTATATAGCAATGCAAAGGACTTAAAATATCCAGACAGTCTCAGACTATTCCCTGAAGACCTTAAAAGAGCATGCTACAGGGATACTGCCACATCGATGTTCAGAGCAGCACAATTCACAATAGCTAAACTGTGGAATCAACCCAGATGCCCTTCAATAGATGAATGGATAAAAAAAATGTGGCATTTATACACCATGGAATATTACGCAGCACTAAAAAATGACAAAATCATGGAATTTGCAGGGAAATGGATGGCACTAGAGCAGATTATGCTTAGTGAAGCTAGCCAATCCCTAAAAAACAAATACCAAATGTCTTCTTTGATATAATGAGAGCAACTATGAACAGAGCAGGGAGGAAGAGCAGGAAGAAAAGATTAACATTAAACAGAGACATGAGATGGGAGGGAAAGGGAAAGAAAAGGGAAATTGCATGGAAATGGAGACCCTCATTGCTATACAAAATTACATATAAGAGGTTGTGAGGGGAATGGGAAAATAAACAAGGAGAGAAATGAATTACAGTAGATGGGGTAGAGAGAGAAGATGTGAGGGAAGGGGAGGGGGGATAGTAGGGGATAGGAAAGGTAGCAGAATATAATAATTACTAATAGGGCATTATGTAAAATTGTGGATGTGTAACCGACGTAATTCTGCAATCTGCATTTGGGGTAAAATTGGGAGTTCATAACCCACTTCAATCTAATGTATGAAATATGATATGTCAAGAGCTTTGTAATGTTGTGAACAACCAATAAAAAAATATCTAGACAGCAATCTAAAGAAAGGTAAAGCTGGAAAATACCAAAAATTATTATAAGGCTACTGTAATTAATTCAAGAGGACAGGCAGATCAATAGAACAAAATGGAGAACTTATGAACCTTATGAATAGTAACCTGATTTATCGTACAGGTGACACTTCAATTCAGTGAGGAAAAAAAGGTCTTTTCTGGTGGTCTGTCAACTAAATATCTAGTTGAGCAAAAAATGAACCTTGACCCCCATTTCATACCACACACACACAAAAAAAAACTAATTCAGGACAAATAACAGAAAAAACAGGCTATCTTTACCACCTTCATGTAGGCAAAGAGTTCTTGAGCAGGGTACAAAAAACACTAATTGTGGTCTCTTGCTAGGAAATCTCATTCAGTTCTGTTATTTAAATCTCATATACTCTCAAATTTCTATTTTAAGCCCTAAACTCTGACCTAAAATATAGACTAATGAATTCAATATCTACCTGTATGCCATCTGAATGTCCAAGAAGTATATTAAACAGCCTCAAAATCCAAATCTAACTCTTGATTTCTCTTACCCCAATCTTTCCTTTCTCCATTAATGGCACTACTATCCATGTAGTTGCTCAAGGTAAAACCTATTAATTATCCTGGAAATCTCTCTTTCTTCCCACATCATCCAATTCACAAATATGTCAAATCTTTCTAATAACATACACTGAACCAATCTACTTCTTTCTAGTTTCATTGCTTCTACCCTAGTCAAATTCTTTCATTTTTCCCCAGACTACTGCACTAACCTTCTAATGGGTCTCCTGTTTTTTTTTTTTTTTTTTTGGTGTGTGTGTGGTGCTGGGGATTGAACCCGGCCTTGTGCATGCAAGGCAGGCATTCTACTGCTTCTTATATCCCTAAAGTCTATCTCCATATAGCAACCAGAATGATCCCTTAAGACAAATTAGATCATGTCATTCCCTTACTTCTATTCACACCTAGAACAAGGCATATCTTCCTTGCTATGAGCTCAACAGCTCTTAAATAATATGGCTACTGCAGATCTCTTCTCATATCACTTTCCCCTTTTATACTAGAGCCTGTCTTAATAATTTTAACATAATTCAATACAACTATATGTTTATATGTTCATTATACAAAATAATTACTAATTTTTTTATTATAAGCCACTGGCTCTTAAAACAAAAATATATTTTAAAATATATTTTAAAAATAGAATTTCACCAAAATTAAACAGACATATTTCATTTAATAGAAACATTAGATTTAAAATTAAATTTACCTTCTAAACTTATCTTTTTTGTCTTTTAAATCATCAACTTCATCATGTGTGAACAGATCAGCTATACGTGTAAGAAGATTTGCATTAATACAGTTCATGTTGCATGGGGTAGCTACTATGGCATTCATGTTTTTGTGGCAATACTGAATACACTGTTCAACCTAAAAAACACAGAATAGAACAAATGATAATGTCATACCTTTCAAACATAAAATTCATCAAAAGCCTAATCCATGTATTTCTATTTACCAACTGGGTTTGCCTATTTGGTTTAATTTGCCCTTGCAATGTGGTCCAGCAGGTTTAATTTGTAAACACACAGACAAACCTAGCAAAATTATTTTCAACCTTTTCTATTTCAAACAATAATGTACCTTTTATGGTTGTGGTAGGTATGGTATAAACCTTAATTCTGTACCTTTGAGTAAAATACATACAAGTGACTTTCTAGTTAAACTTCATAATTGTAAGCCTCCATTTCTTGGGGTAGTAGAACCAAACCTTCAGTCACTTAAAGGCTTTCTTACTTGTGTTAGATTTGCTCTCTGACTTCCTTCCCTTCCTTGCAACCTAAAGTGTATTTATTTACTTTAAAAGCAAAGAGAAGTAGTCACTTATTTTTTGAAATATTTTTACCAATAGCATAAAAATTATATTTTAGGATGTATATTTCAAAACTCAGTGTAAGGACTCTGTTAGTCTCACTTTTGTTCTGGAGCTCTTCTCTGAAATAATACCAATTGGTTAAACAGGGAGAGGCTAAGAAGTAGAAAGAACACTATAACTAATAAAATTAGTAAAACTCCAAATAATCAATCAAACTTCTCTTCTGCCAACCATAGCAAAGGAGTATTCTGTCCTATATAGTTTTACCAGAAGCTAAAAGCAAATATTTATTTAAAAATTAGCCACAAAATATCAACCACAAACATATAAAATTATTTGAAAGAAAAAGAAATGTATTAAACAAAATAAAAACAAATATATTTAACATTAGAACTTGAAATATGTATGTACACATATAGTATTTTTATCTTTCACCAGCTACTCTTAAGCAATAGTCATGAGCTCCTGTGATACAGAAAATCACAGCACTTAATAGTGGGATATTGTTCTTCATTCACTTTTTTTTTTTAAAAAAAGTATATATTTATTTTTTTAGTTGTAGTTGGGAGAAATATCTTTATTTATTTTTATGTGGTGCTGAGGATTGAACCCAGGGCCTCACTCGTGCTAGGCGAGCGCTCTACCACTGAGCCACAACCCCAGCCCCTTCATTCACTTTCATAAATGAAAGACACATAAGCAAAACATGAAATTACTTCAATAGCAAAACAAATATATTCCAATTAAGCTTCATTTAATTTGGTGGTAGGGCAAACCCCTTTGGGGGTAAAGTTTCATCTGATAAAACAGTGAGCTACTTCTTGAGGATTAATTGCTTGCTTTATAAGCATAACACATAAAAACCTAGTTGTCTTAACCCTTTCCCAACAGAACAAAGTATCTCCAAACGTGCAATTTATTCTAATGAAATTACACTTGTGGGCTGAGATTGTGGCTCGGTGGTAGAGTGCTTGCCTAGCATGTGTGAGGCACTGGGTTCGATCCTCAGCACCACATATAAATTAATAAATAAATAAAGGTCCATCAATAGCTTAAAAAGTTAAAAAAAAATTACACTCTTGAATTAACAACAACTATTTTAGTAAGAGGTCCTAAAATTTTCCAGACATTTGAAGAGATAGGGGTGAGGGGAAAGCCTCAAGGGAAGTTCTTGAAGTTTTTAAAATTAATACTTACTAATGAATCCATTTTCAAAAACTCGGAGGAAATAAGAATTGAAATGACATTTCCTGGCTCTAAAGAAAAAGAAAAGAAAAAAAATTAAAATTTCCTTTTGATTTGTATCTCAGTCTCCTCAAAATAGGCTCCTTCTCTCCTTAAAAGAAGAAGTTACTTTAGTAAGAACAATTTAATTTAACCTTTCTTACGCTATAAGGCTTAAGTACATAAAATAAAGAAAATTCAATGTTAATACTTACAGTATACAGAAAATGCACAGTAATTTTTGTCCTGGAATTAGATTTGTATTAAGTACAAAGATTCCAACTAAAGATACGACATAAGCAAAAGTCAGAGTGAGAAAATATTTAAAATAATTAATGAGAGCATTTGGTATTTATGAAGTTATTTAAAAAAGAAGTTCAGTGCTGGTTATAAATGAATATTTAATTTAAAAAATTCTGAAGCTGGGTATGGTGGTGCATGCTTGTAATCACAAGTGGCTCAGGAGGCTGAGGCAGGAAGATCTTGAATTCAAAACCAGCCTCAGCAATAGTGAGACCCTGTCTCTAAATAAAATACAAAATAGGACTAGGGATGTGGCTCAGTGGTTAAGTACCCCAACTCCCACCCCCACCCCTGCGGAAAAAAAAAAAAGAATTCTGAAAGCTAATAAAAAATTTTAATACTGCAGAAATACTCAAGTTACTTCCTAGAGGCATACTAAATGAGCCTTCGGGCATACAGATAAGGAAATGGGGATGCTGCCTGACACAATTTCAATAAACCTGCCATCCCCCATGAAGTATATTTAAGAAGAAAAACTGATTTGCTACCATTCTAGTACTATAACAATCCTAAATTCTTTTGTGCCAGAAAACATTCTTGTATTAGGCAATAACTAAAGTAAGCATTCCAATCTTTTCCTAAATAAGAAGTCTGGTTAATGGTTCTCAAATGGAAATGGTGAAAGGAGGAAGCAGCTGGTGAAAAAGCTCTTCAGGAAATTGTAATGTACACCATTTCAGTTAAGAACCAGTGGCTGGATTATTAAAGTACTTTTTAAGTATTAAGATGTAGTACTTTTCCTGATGATAATGAAAACTGCTTTTATAAAAGTTTACATTTGTAGCCACTTACTGAAAGTCAAAGATAACAGAATGACTAGCTTTGCACTATTTCTTTCACATATGTAAATATGCTGGAACAAACAGCATTTTTTTTTTTTTTTTTTGGTACCAGGGATTGAACCCAGAGGGCCTTAACCACTGACCCACATCCCCAGCCCTCTTTAGTATTTTATTTAGAGACAGGGTCTTGCTGAGTTGCTCAGGGTCTTGCTAAATTGCTGAGGCTGGCTGTGAATTTACAATTTTCCTGCCTCGGCCTCCCATCTGCTGGGATTACAAGTGTGCACCAGCACGCCAGGCTCAAACAGCATTTTTTTCTCTCTACATATTTTTTTTATTTCATATACATATACATAAATACATAGCTGAATGGTTTAGAATCTCTCTACTCTGGCTGAAGATTCTGATTTAGCAATCTTGTATTTTATACTGTCAGTATAGACTTATTTTCTAATAATGAAGTGGTGGCTCAGTGGTAGAGCACTTGCCTAGCTATGTGTGAGGCACTGGGTTTGATTCTCAGCACTACATATAAATAAATACATAAAAGTCGATCAACAACTAAAAAAAATATAAAAAGAGCTTAAAAATGATATTGCTGTAAATAGCAACTCTAGTATACAGAAATACTTTATTAAACTGCAAGTGTGACTTCCTACAAGTCAATTCCCATTAAAGATCGTTATTTTTGCTATCATTTAGGACATTGAGTCTCAAATTTTCTGTCTCAGAACCCCTTTATGATTTCGAAAACACAATACTAAATAAAGAGCTTCTGTTTTTTTTTTTTTATTGATTGTTCAAAACATTACAGAGCTCAAGACATATCATCTTTCATATATTCGACTCAATTGGGTTTAAAGAGCTTCTGTTTATGTGGGTTATATTCATCAGTATTCCACATATTAGAAACTATGAAAACAGAAAATTTTAACAAATTTATTTTATTCATTTAAAAAGAGCAGTACTATAAACCTATTACATGTTAACATATTTTTGTGAAAGATAACTATACTTTTCAAAATAAAAAAAGTAGTGAGATGAGCTTCATTGTTTGACATTTTTACAAATGTCTGACTTAATAGAAGACAGCTAGATTCTCATATATATTTCTTCATTGAATTTGTGGGTAACCTTCTTTGATGTCACACCAATATCTACTGAGTGGTAGTTTCTTCTGGGTTAGTTGCAATGGAATCTGAAACCATATCAATGAACTTTTTCTGCTCTGTTAAACAATGTATCTAGGGCTGGGGATGGGGCTCAAGCGGTAGTGCGCTCGCCTGGCATGCGTGTGGCCCGAGTTCGATCCTCAGCACCACATACAAACAGAGATGTTGTGTCTGCCGAGAACTAAAAAAGAAATAAATATTTAAAAAAAATTGTCTCTCTCTCTCTCTCTCTCTCTAAAAAAAAAAAAAACAATTTATCTAGTACTCTGATTGGATCATAAATCCATGAATGATTTTTTTAATACACTGTGTAGTAGACACCCGGAAAATATTAGCTAACTGGTGAGACATTTCACTATATAATATGTATTTTAAAAAATCACATTCATGGGGCTGGGGATGTGGCTCAAGCGGTACCACGCTCGCCTGGAATGTGTGCGGCCTGGGTTCGATCCTCAGCACCACATTCCAACAAAGATGTTGTGTCTGCCAAGAACTAAAAAATAAAATATTAAAATTTTCTCTCTCTCTCTCTAAAAAGAAAGATCCATCTCTCTCTCTCTCTCTCTCATAAAAATTCTCTTTAAAAAAAATCACATTCATTAATATAACCACCAATCATATCTCATCAGAAACGTCTTTGAAGCTGTCAAGCACACAGAAACAGATAAACTTTCCTAAATTCTAATTCGCAGCTTGAAAGTTTGGATTTTATCACTGACAACAAACACATGTTTTCCTTTAAGCAATTAGCTAATTCTCAAGAAAATATCTGCCAAATACCTAAGTCTAAATAATCATGATTTCTGTCAGTTGCTTTTTCAATTAAAAATGGTTTTCTGCTTTTAAAAAGCAGTTGGTTTAGCTCATGACTGAATTGCACAAGTGTTTTTCCTAAAGACAACCATCATACCCTGGGGTGCAGGAGAACACTTCCTTTTCTATCACACTTTTTTTTTTTTTTTTTTTAATAGCACTACGGATTGAACCCAAGGCCTTGTGCAATGGAAGCACTCTACCACTGAACTACATCTCAAGTTTCTTTTTATTTTTTGAGACAGGGTCATGTTAAGTTGCCCAGGTTGGCCTCAAACTTGCAATCTCCTGCCTTAGCCTCCTGAGTAGTGGGGATTACAGGTGTGCCTCACTGTACCCAGCCACACAGAATATTAAAGAAGGTATGTGTTAAGGGTTGAGATTTAATAAAATAAATAATTTTTATTGCTTCATCAAGAACATTCTTAAGTGAATCTACATCCCCCCCCCTTTTTGGTACCATTAATCGAACTCAGGAGCACTCAACCACTGAGCCACATTCCTCAGTCCTTTTTTGTATTTTATTTAGAGACAGGATCTCACTGAGTTGTTTAGCACCTCGCTTTTGCTGAGGCTGGCTTTGAACTCGCAATCCTCCTGCCTCAGCCTTCAGAGCACTGGGATTACATGCGTGTGCCACCATATCCGGGCTTTTTTCCTTGCTCAACTATGAGTGTATGGTGTTAAAAACAATGACTACTACTACAGTTTCGTTCCTGTGTCTTGATTTGGCATAAAGGTCCAACAGTTTTGCTCACCACTGCTTTTGCACCATTTGAGCAATCCTTTCTCTCTCTCTCTCTCTCTCTCTCTCACACACACACACACACACACACACACACACAAAAAGATAAATAACACCTTGGTATTCTTATGTTTTGATCTTGTGGATCTTTTAAAAGGGTCTCCAGGACCCCAACTGTCCACAAGTCATATATTAAGAACTGCTGACCTACAGACCTATTAATTTGCCAAGAATTTACTATGATTTAACTAAATTTCTAAAAAAAAGATATGAGGTATCAATTTACCAAAAGGCTGCTATAATAAAAGCATAAATATTAATATTCAAACAATTTTCTACATTTCACTTTTGGCCTGAAAGAACTACCAGGTGACACACAAATTTCACTATAAAAATAAACAACAATTTTCTTTTACCTAAAGTGGGCATCTCACAATCTTTATTCTCCTTAGTGTTTCTTTTAACATATTTTATCAACCAGTTGAAAATATGAACGTCACAATGAACTGAAATGTCCACCTCTTCCCAGCGCTGGGCATCCATAGATAAATATTCAGCAAAGTACTTCATTTCTGATATCAAAAGATCTCGTGGGCAAATAAAATCTTCTTTCAAGTTTTTTCCTTCGTCACATACATGGATCACCATGTTTGGCCTTCATAAAAAATGTTACACAGAAATGAAATTATTAGAATTTTAGAAGAGGATCCAAGAATGTTGACATTTAGTGGAGGTATGAGAACAGGATTTTTTGAAGACTGTGACCACAAATTAGTTTTTTAGTGTTTTGACATTCAGAATTTTTAAAAAATGTCTTGTTAACCTGGTTATATCAGATTAAAACTAATTTTAGTAGGCTACTGATTTAATAAAACAAAAATATTGTTACTAAGGGACCAATAATTTACATGGTTTTAAATTTTATTTCAAATTATATATTACATAACAAAGTTTATAAAAATCATACCAATTCCCAAAGAAAAATTAAGTAATATGTTTTAATTCTTGTGAGAAACTTAAAATAGTTCTTTAACATGGTTATGAGTGTGCAAGGGAAATAATAATTAAATATTAAAATTTTCATACTTTTGAAAAAGGAAAAGCAGCTAAAAGTATTCATTGAAGAATCAAATTACAAATTACCATGGCTTGCTTAGTTTTTTTTTTTTTTTAATAAATATTTTTAGTTGTAGATGGACACAATACCTTTATTTATTTATCTTTATGTGGTGCTGAAGATTGAATCCAGGGCCTCACACATGCTAGATGAGAACTCTACCACTGAGCTACAACCCCAGCCCCTTACTTAGTTATTTTTAACAGCAAGAAAGTGTGCTTCTAGGCATTCCTGAAATGTACATTAATAAATGTAGTTAAAAAGATTCTTAAGACTACAGTGTATTTACATATTTAAAATACTTTAATAAGTTCAGATAAAGCATTAGAAACTTAGCTTCAACAATTATATATACTTTGATTTTATTTTCTTTGAAAATCATTTCACTTCAAAGAAAAAAAAAATCAGTGTGATCCAAATCTGCCTTCATGTCATTACAAAGAGAACAGAATAAATAGGAAGAAAGCACTGTACTACAATATGAACTTATTGTATTTAATTGAACTTCACAAAACTGGAGGGAAAAAAATTACATTTTATGTAAAATTGGACCAGGCTATCAGAAAAAAAGGATTATAATCAATGCTCTATCAGTTATAAGAATTAAAATAAATAGCTCTTCCAAAGAAATTATGGTCAAAATATAAGTAGATAATACTATTATAATTAAACAAAATTTCTGTGGCTTTTTGGACCACTATATAAAATATTAGATAATTCCAGTAAAAAAAAAAAAGTACTTGGGACTGGGGTTGTAGCTCAGTGGTAGAGAGCTTGCCTAGCACTTGTGAGAAACTGGGTTGATCCTCAGCACCACATAAAAATAAATAAAATAAAGGTATTGTGTCCATCTACCACTAAAAAAAATATTAAAAAAAAAAGTACCTGGAAAATGTTTGTATCCTTCAAAGAAACTTATCAACTTAAAAAACCTATGTGAATAAACCAATAATCACAGAACTGTGCACTTTTAAGTTTTTTTTAATTATGGTAAAATATACATACCATAAAATTCATCTTTTTAAAAAAAGTATTTATTTATTTTTTTTTACTTGTACTTGGACACAATACCTTTGTTTATTTATTTATTTTTATGTGGTGCTGAGGATCGAAACCAGGGCCTTGCTTGCACTAGGTGAGTGCTCTACCACTGAGCCATAACCCCAGGCCCAAATTCACCATTTTATCCACTTTTAAGTGTATGGTTTCGTGGCACCAAGTACATCCACACTGTTGTGTTTATCATCACCGCTACCCACTTCTAGAACTTCTTAAGAAAAGGTGAATTTAATGATATACAAATTATGTATTAATGAAATTGTTATTAAAAATCTATCAAAACTAAAGATTCATGAAGGAACTCTCAAGGATGATAAAAATGTTCTGTATCTTGATTTAGGATAGTTATACGGTGTACTTATTTGTCAAAACTCAAAGTAAACATTTAAAATACATGCATTTTACAACACTATAAAATATCAAAACTTGCAATATATTGAAAAACAGTCTAATACTAAATGTTTATATAATGAGTAATTATAGTCAAATAGTTCTAATAGAGTTAGTTTCTTTAAATAAAGTTGGACTACTAATGGCACAGAGACTGTTCTTTAGATATAAAAATTTAATTTCCAAAGTTTTACGTTAATAAATGTTATTTGTAATTTTACAAATATGAAAATAACTTTTTAAAGATGGCAAACTATAGTTTAATTTATAAATAACAGGAACAAGTCATATGTTTAGGTATTAAGCAATTGTTTACAACTCAAAATGTAAACTAAGCTAATTTCAACTATTTTAGCAATTGTGTAATGTAAAATTTCTGAATTATGGTAACTGATGCATATTATCACTAATTGTATATTTTATAATTTAAAGTTGATATTAATATTAAATCTTATCTAGCAAATAACCAGCCTCCTACCCTTCAGATTCTTCAGTCTTTCCTCCACCATTACGAGTAGTACAATTTTCACTTTCTGAAGAACAATTCCTTGTGGAAGCTATACTATGTCTTCCTTAAATACAGAAACAGACACATACAAAAGAAAAGGGTGGGGGGTTAGCGTTTCTAGCTGAGAATGGATTTTTACTTACTGAATGGTAATACTGTAAATGCATGGTTTCCAAGGCTAGTTAAAGATGGTATTTGTCAAGTGGCATTTTTCATTATATTAATATTTTTAAAGGCAAATGGAAGAAATAGTACAAAAAGTGAAGCACAAAATTGCTAAAGTTACCATGAAGTTTTCAAAAACTACTGATGTAATAATAATAAGTACAAATAGGGGTCAAATGTCTCAAAGCCAACAGCATAGTTTTCTCTTCCTGAAGCAAATTCTTATATCAATACTCTCTGACTACTGCTGCTGAGATCAACTCAGTACACTCTGAGGATTTCTGATATTAATTATTTCCAGGAAACATCTTTTCTATCTTACCACTGTATCATTTGAATTTCCTGCTAACTGCAGTAAAAAGTAGTTGTAAAAACGATTATGTGAGAGACAAGCAAGATTCTCTCAGTAGGAAAAAAACAGAAGTAAAAAAATAGGTCAAATTTCTTTAAAATAAAGTAAAAGAATATTCATAGTGAATAATAAATAATGTATGAAATAACTAGCCCAACACACTGTAGTAAAAAATTTTGATATAGTTAAGATTTTGTTTTGGAAACAGTGTTTGACTTATATAGCAACAATTAAGAAGTTCTTAAAACAAAGAGGACAATTATACTTATTAAAATACGAGAAAATACAAACACTAATAGATGTTTATATTAGCCTTTAAACAAAGAAAACTTGATTGGAACATAAAATTCCACAGAGTACTGTATTTTGTTTTAAAATCTTACCTGTCTTGGAAACTGCATCCTGACCAACTGGAGTCTCCTGAAAATCTCCCTGTGTGTCAAGAAGTGAGGTTTTGATATATGTAGCTAAAGTTTCAACAGGACTCTCTCCCTCCATTAAGGGATAATACTGGTTGTCAACAGGTGAGTTGCCACTGCTCTTCAATTCATCAAACCTTTTTGCACACTGTCATGATATAAAGGGAAATAAATGAAACTTAAAAAGATTTTTTTTGCCTACTATTTGAAGATATTTTCCTTTAATCATTTTTTGTAAGTGAATATTGATCTATTGGTGACATCTACAACGTTTATATGTGTTTCAATAAACAAAGGCCTGTGACTTTTTTCTCTTTTAAAATTCAGGGTAGAATTCTTTTTAAATATGCATTAACCCAAAGGAAAAAAATATTTAAACTCATGTAGAAAAATGAAAACTGTCTTTATTCACCATATTTCTTTTTGATATGCATATATTATCAGTTGAAAATATTAACTATTTAGTTAAATACTTGCCTTTTATTTTTAAACGAGTTTCCACTAGGAATAAGATCAAATTCTAACCTTTAATGGAAAGCAAATCAAAGAGTATCTAATTTGTGACACTAGATTTTCTTTATTAATATAATAGTCTTTGTTTTTTACCTACAGTAAGTTTTCTCTTGACTAAAACAATTTGTAGTAACACTTCTTCGCCACCTATTGGGCACAGTCTGCTCTAGGATATTTTACTTAATGGATTAATTGTTCACGAAATCAGTTTAGAAGGTTCAGGTTAGTATTTTGGGAAAAAAAAATACAAGAGTACAATAGATTAGAAAATATCAAGAGTGCACTGAGCTAAGGCTAAGTAGTCCTTTATGAAAATGTTTTTTCTACGTGTTTACTAGGTCACAAATATAAAATGCCTTCCTTACTGTAAGTCTTCGTCAAACACTGTTAAAGCATCCATTTTTAAATCTCCATCAACATCAATGTGGATGGCAAGTTAGATAGCAGATCAAGTAATCTGGGGGGTGCAAAAGGAGAAAAATGTATACTACGTATATGTATATATATATATATATTAAATGAATAATATGCATTAGTAATTAGGAAAGTGCAAATCATTCATTTATTATACAAGTAATTTAACAAGTACCCACAAGATATCAAAATATCAAGCATTACTTTAGGTAATGACTGTTTACATGGTTACTATTACTACAAAGAAATATCTACCCAAGGCTTAGTCCTTTGAAAAGTGAAGTTTTAAGAAAGACATTTGAAGTGCATGAATCTCATGAAAAGAGAAGGGGGAGACCAGCCAGTGGACAACCTGGAAAGAACTAGGGGAATGGAAGTGAGAAGGGAAAGGTGAGATACTGAGGGATGAAATTGACCAAAGTATATTTTGTGCATAAACAAATATGTAACAACAAATTCCATTATTATATGTAATTATAATGTGTCAATTAACTTTTTAAAAGTCTTTTACAAAATCTTAAGTTGAATAAAATAATTAGTATGATAAGTGAGAAGCATAGAAAATATTTTTTGTGTGAAGACAAAAGTAGTAGAAATGTGCTGCGTATGGTGGCACATGCCTATAATCAATCCCAGAGGCTTGGGAGGCTGAGGCAAGAGGAGCACAAGTTTGAGGCCAGCCTCAGCAACTTAGTGAGACTATGTCTTAAAATAAAAAAAAGGGCTAATGTAGCTTAGTTGTAAATAATCCTGAATTCAATCCCTGGTTAAAAAACAAACAAACAGAGATGAAATCAGGGCAAAGAAATAAAACAAATGCTATAACATCATTACAAAAATGTACAGGTACAAATGTACATGTACAGGATCAAAAGAGAAATTGTTTAACTAAATCCATTTTTCCTACAAAATGAGATTATTCTTTGTAACACAGAGAAAGTGGTAGGTAAACATTTTTCCCCACAACTGCGATGAAGACCTTGTCTTTCTATATTTATTTTATTTTATTTTTCTGGTAGCTAAGCTTTTAAAACAGGGATTCTTTTGAAATCTTTCAAGTAAAGTGTATACTCATATTGGAAATAGCATGTAGATTTATCTTATTTAACATAATTTACAGTCATTAATACTACTTAAGTGAGAAATTTATGAATTCTTAACATTTGAAATTGATACATGACTGCATAAAAAAGCACATGAACTATAAATAATTAATTATATTGTTAGATATTCTTTCATGTTTAAGAAAAACTATGGAGTATCTATAAACAAAAGAATGAGGTTGGACCTCCTACTTCACATCTTATACAAAAATTAACTCAAAACAGATCAAAAGATAAATCAAAAAGCCAAAGCTATAAAATGCTTAGTTATAAAGATTTATAAAACAGTTAAAAATATTTGTAACCTTGGATAAGGTAGTGGTTTCTTAGCCATGACACTAAAAGCAAAAGGAATAAATGCTACCTAAACTGGACTTTATTAGAATTAAAAACTTCTAATTCAAGAAAATGAAAAGCCAATCCACAAAATAGGAGAAAAATATTTCCAAGTCATATATATGACAAGGGATTTGTAATACAGAATATATAAAAAACTCTTACTAGCAAAAATTAAAAATTTAAAACATGGCCAAAGGATTTAAACAGACATTTCTCTAAAGAAGATGTATAATTGGTTAATAAACACATGAAAAGATGCTCCACATCATTAGTAATCAGGAAAGTGCAAATCAAAACTGCGATGTTTCATTTCACACATGCTAGGATGGCTATAATCAAAGACAGATAATAAAATTGAGAAGATGTAGCGAAATTAGAAGTCTCATCTATTTTTGGTGGGAATGTAAAATAGTACAGCTACTTTGAAAAAACTAGATAAGATTATTTCAGCTAAGCTAAACACTTATCTAAAATTTTTAAAAATAATTTATACTTTCTCTATTTGCAAATCATCAACAAGTCATCTCTGAAATGGAAAAAAAATTATAACACAGGGAATTAATAAGAGAATGTTCAAGAAACAAATAGAATTTTCTTATCTACCAAATATTAAAATAATACCAAAATTAAGTAAGTCAACATGAAAATGTAGTGGGTTATTAGATAAAGAGATCAATGGATTAGAATAATACTTGATATAGAAAGTGTAAGCATCAGGCAGACAGGTATGTTGATAGGAGAATATAACATAAATGACTTTCTAGTGGGCAATATGACAGTATTAATAAATGCCTTAAAAATGCATGTGCCTTCTGATCCAGATATTCTGCTTTTGTGATAATCCCCAAGGAAATGAAACTAAGATATTTGTTATAGTGGTACCATAGTAGACAAAAAATTGGAAAAAATGCCCTAAGTATCCAACAAAAGGAACTGATTTACTAGGCTTGGTGATGCATACCTATAATCCTAGAAGACCTGGAGGCTAAGGCAGGAGGATCTCAAGTTAGAGGCCAGCTTCAGCAACTTAGTAAGATTCTGTCTCAAAATTAAAAAAATTAAAAAGGTCTGGGAGGGAGGTTAAGTAGTAAAGCACTTCCCTAGCATGTGCAAGGGCCTGGGTTCAATTCCCAGTATCAGGTGGTGAGAGGGGAAAAGGAGGGGTGAATGTTGGCTCAATAATTATGATATGGCTTAAACAAAAGCCATTAAATGTTACAGAATTGTATTATTGACATATAAAGATATTTACAACATGATGTTTTTAAAAAAACAAGTCCTGAAAATAGTACATTTGTTGTATGCCCATTTTTAGAATTCATACAAGTTCAGAAAAGAATTGGGAAGAAAATATATAGGTGTCAACTGCTTGATTTAGGTAAGGTCAGATTTTTCTGACTATAATTCTTATTTTTTGCATGTTACTTTTGGTGTATGCATTCATTTTCCATTGTGGTGCTGAGGTTTGAACTCAAGAGTAGGCTAGGCAACATTCTCAGTGTAGCTGTGTATGTATTCTTTAATGATATGTTTCATTTAAAGTTATTAATGTTATTCTGATATATACTTAAATAAACATTTAAAATTTAGTAGTACTAAAAACACTGTGATTCACATTCAGTTGGATTTCAGTCAAAAAAATTTCTCAGTAAATTTAAAGATAGTGGGGCTGGGGTTGTGGCTCAGTGGTAGAGTGCTCTCCTAGCATGCACGAGGCACTGGGTTTGATCCTCAGCACCACATAAATGTAAAATAAAGATATTGTGTCCACCTAAAATTAAAAAAAGAGTAAATATTATGGAGTGATAGAACTATTAATTTTCTTAGGTTTGATAATGATACTGTGATTATGTAATAATGTTCTTATTCTAAGGATATGCAAGCCACAATCTATAGGGATGAAGTATCATGGTGTCTAAAACTTATAAGTCCTAGAAAAAAATTATACAAAGAGATAAAGAAAATACCTATAATTGCTGGACCTATTTAAAGGAAATCAGACTACTATACTATTCTTTAAACTCTTCTGTATGTTTGAAGGCATTTATAATAAAAAGTTAGAATAACAGATGAATTCAATAGTTTCTCCTGTTTTAAAACCTAATGTAAAAATCAAAAAGGTAATATATAAATTAGGAAGCAATGATATACATTAAAAAATATATTCTCTCATGATTTCACAATTACCTAAATATAGCTGAGAGCAAGTTATCTCTGTAGGGACTGGTTTTCTCAGTTGTAACAGCATAGGGTGAAACTTCATTCATTCACTGATTTGACACCTATATTTTGAGTGTATATGATGGGCCAGGCAGTTGAGTAATATGCTTTAAATTTATTAGAGAAAATTACTGTCATTTCCACTTGTGTAATTCTAAGCATTCCTTGTACCAGCAAAAGTTCTGAGGTGTTTCTCAAACTAGTGTTCATGATTGAATTATAGAAATATATGTGTTTCCTCTAAGAATTTTTCATTTTAAGTTTTGATTCTGAGGATAACATTAATAAGATCATCTAAATTATCAGGATGATAGAATATTTTGAGGCCTATTTGCTTTTCTGTTTACAATTAAATTGGTACCAATAAATATTTCAATTGTCTATGGTCAAGGGGGGCATAGAAGAGATGCATCAGTGCCAAATGAAGGTAAATAATGTCATGATGTATCACAAGACTTCCCAGTAGGTTAAAGAGAAAAGCTGAATTCAAACATATCAAGTGGGTTAATATATAATTTTTACAGTTTATATCCAGTCAGTCATATAAATATGTGCAAACAGTGTTTATAAATGCATATGTATTATAAAATTTGAATTGCTTTCTCTTACTTATTGGTTGTTTCTTTAAACTGCTCATTTTTTTTTCTGATTTTTTTTTTTTACCCAGGAGATATCTGGGGGAATGTTATTTACCTCTTTAGGTGTTAATCCAGGTACAAGCCTTGCCACAGTTTCCCAGTTGATGGTCTGAGGGATTCCAATTAATGGATAAAGGATCATGTCCAATACCATTTGGTTGTTATTGTTCAGGAAATTGTTGTTTTCTGAATATCCACGACTCATCTTTTGGAACTAGGGATAAGGAGGACAAGCAGCTTTATTTATATCTGAAATTTCAATGTTTTCAGAAAATTATAAATTAGTTATAATGCATTTCTAAAAATTGTCTAGTTGGGTACAGCAGTGCACACCTGTAATCTCAGGTACTCAGGAGGCTGAGTCAAGAGGATCACAAATTTGGGGCCAGCCTGGGTAGCTTAGTGAGACTATCTCAAAATACAAAAATAAAAAGGGACTAGAGATGTAGCTCGGTGGTATAGCTCCCCTGGGTTCAATTCCTAGTACTAGAAAACAAACAAACAACCAACCCCAAAATGAATTAAAAAACTGCTACTATATAAAGGAAAAATAAAATTTACTTAAAATAAACTCAGATTATTTAGCCCAAATCTCTTCAAATATAAAAGCATCTGAATATTATGATTTCATAAATGGATACATAGGATGAACAGATGGATAAATATTCAATAAATGCATAACAGAGTATTAATGGTAGAATCTAGGTAATGGATTTATGAGTGTTTACTACAAAATTCTTTTAGACTGCTGTATATTCAAAATTTTTCACAGTAAAATGCTGGGGGGGATGGGATATAATTTATTTTCCTTAAAAAAATCTGTTAAGTGTGCCTAATTTATACTATTAGCAATCCATAGATGATATAACTGTGAAAACCCAAACACATAGCTTGTTAAAATTAAGAATTATAATTTCATTCTATTCCTAAGTAATATTCCCTTAGTTTTTCTATGACTGAATATCCATTCTACAAAAGATGAAGGTACAATGAAACTTAAAATTTAGGCTAAGCATTATAGTCATTGTGCCTTGTGATTATTACTTATAAATGGTAGAGGAATTATATCAACAACTATAATTATTTTTACATTTTGAAACAACTTTTCTTTGGAAAATTCTTCATCCTTCTTGTTTTCAGAAGCAAAGGCAACAACTGGACTGATACGGTTCAATTCTTACACACAAACAGACACCCTGCCACTTGTATAAGTGGCCAATAACCCCCTCAAATATATACTCCTGCAGAGTGGAGAATTTCCAGGGTTCCTACCCATTTCTCTTCCATCACAATCTCTACTTAACCCAGGAGACCTTTAAAAACATATCCAGTGCCTTATATCTAAATCAAGGGGGTCCAAGTTTTCAGAGAATAATATCACCAAGTAAAAGGCTCTAGATGGCTTTCCACATGGATGTAATTCAACATACATTTAGTGGGTCCACCTCTGCCATGTCTTAGATATAAAAGTTCCTTCTATGACCATGCCATGTGGTCCCAGTCTTCAAGGAGTTTATGCTTTGGTGAGGGATATTAGTAGAAGAGTATATTTTAAACATCATATTAATATTATTTTGTATAAGAATCAAAGCAGAGGGAAGCCATGGAACAGCAGAGGAGGAACACATTATGGCTGTTATCTACTATGTATCCACCAGGAGCCATGGAACTGTGTTAAGTCTTTTGCATGTTATTTCAATAAATCCTCATCCCTATAAAGCAGGTTATTTCCAATTTTATAAGATTAGGAAATAGGCTCAAAGTTTAGTGATTTGTATAAGGTCACAGAGCTAGTAACACACACACCAAGGATTCAAACTTAGGTAAAACTGACTCTCAAATCCATGTTCTTTCCAGTCTATATAAGAGGGGAGGCACTGAGATGGGAATGATGGTGTTTAGGGTAAGGAGATACAGATGCTAATTCATTACGAAGCTAATTATGTTTAATTAAACAACTTTGAAAGCTTTTGCTTGTGAGGTGAATGGGGGAAAAGGCTGTGGGCTTGGAAACTAAAAAAGTTACCCATTCAATTTTAAACATTTTAGGAGACTTTTTATGTTAATGTGTTTCTGAGACACTTATTTTATTCAAACATTTACTAAGGAGAGGGGCTCAGTGGTGCATGCTTGAAATCCCAGTAACTTGGGAGAGGCTGAGACAGGGGAATTGCAAGTATGAGATCTCAAACTTGCAATTTGAGACCTCAAAATTAAAAATAATGGGGCTGGGGATATAGCTCAGTTGGAAGAGTGCTTGCTTTGCATGCACAGGCCCTGGGTTCGATCCCCAGCACCACACACACACACAAACACACACACACACACACACACACACACACACAAATACCATTAAAAATAAAAAAGAGCTGTGGATGTAATTCAGGATAAAATGCCCCTGGGTTACACCCAGTTTTAAAACAACAAAAACAACCAATAAATAAAACAATAAAATAAAAATATTACTAAGCCCCCACTATGTGCCAGGCACTGTATATGAACTTGGATCATGAATTTACAGATGAAAATAATGACAAAGGTCTATGGCTACTCATATATATGATTTATCTGACATTGGATTCTAGGTTGAAAACACAATCTCTGAATATTAGCTGTTTCTATGGGAAAATATAGCCTATTTCAGGATAAGAAGTACAAAGCAAAGCTTCCACTGACAGACCAATACAGTGGAAAAAACAGTGTACACAAGAGTCTGAAGCTCTGGATTGAACTGCAGTTGTAAAATTAGGTGATGAAAACACCTCCGACAGCGAAGAGATTCAAAGGGATTGTTTTGTGAAAGTACTTTGAAGTTAAAGCACATCACAAATGAGATGCAGCATACAATAACAGCACCTACTTCCTAAGACTGTGTTCACAGGTGTTGGATTATAGTAAGCTTACAATGTAACTATGACTAGTACTACATAACTGTTAAATAAGACACTGGTATAACATATGAGGTGGCAGGCATCATAGCTATCCTATACGTATTTACATGGACATTAAAAAGAAACACATAAAGAAAAATATTAATCTTCCTACCAACCAGAGATGTACCTTATTGAAGGGCCCGTATAATGTAGTGATTATGAGTGTAGATTCTGGAGTCAGATTGTCCAAGTTTGCATCTTAGATCTACAACTTAAGGTATTATCTGGTTCAGATAATTTCTGTGCCTTAATTTCCACATCTCTAAAACAAAGAAAACAATAGTAGCTAGTTCACATATATTTTTGATGAAAAGTACTATCTGACACACAGTGAGAACTATATTTGTAGGAGTAGCATTACCATTTCTGAGATTTTTAGATTAAACAGATTCATAAAGATTAATATGATGGATAAAAGGAAAGACAGTAATATCCTAATGAAGGAAAATTGAGTGAGTTGTAGATGTTAATCCAGCTTTACCACTCCTAGTAGTGCAACCTGGAGCTTCAATTGTCTCACTTACATGAAAAACAATAGCTACCTTTAGGATTATTGTGAGAATTAAATAACATTATGAAGCACCAGCACATCTTCTGGCATACAAATTGTGCGAAGTAATTTACTGCTATCATTATATCCCTCCTTCCTACTTTAGCCATTATTGGCATAAAAATTTCCCACGAATTAGTTTAATAACTGAGTGTGACAATAAAAGTCAAATTACCCTACTATTAAATCCACTCCCATTCATAAAATATCAAAATTTTAAAACATTTAAAGGAAAACATTATTTGCCAAAAATCAAAATTCTATTATTGAATAGTTCACACTTGTTAAAGAACGGGGTCCCCCCATCCCCTCCCTTATTCTCATATCTTGGTTTATGTATACGTATTAGATTTAATCTACTACATACAGGACCATGACAAGCATCTATTTTTTTTTTCCTTTTTTCAAATAGAAAAGGTTCTTGTAGACAAGAGAATTTTCCCCGCAAGGCAGAGACAGGATGGTAAGAGAGTGCCCAGTGGGGCAGGTCCGAGGCCTTTGGTGTAACAGGGGCAGTAACACTGAGTCACCCTGGAACAGAGAGAAACCTGGAGCCGGATTTCCTGACCCCTGACCACTAAGGAGAACCTAGGGAGTTGGCCTTGATCCAGAGGGAGAAAGTAAAATCACATCCCACACCCAGGCTGAGTGGGTCAAAGCCCTTCAAACCTCGGCCCGCAGGCTCCCAGCGCGGCGCATCCTCGGGGCACCCCCCCAGGACCCTCGAGGTTCGGCTCCACCCGGTGGGGGCGCAGTCTCGGGGGCGGGGTGGGTGAGGAGCAGACAAAGGCGCCGGGCAGCGGGGCGAGGCGGGGACAGATGCGGGACAGAAGCTGGGGCTCCCTCAGCTGGTGCGCGGGCGGGACCCGCGGCCGGGAAGAGAGCCGGCGGGTGGCGGGAGTCTGGTTGGCTGGCTGCGCGGGGCGCCGAGGGCTGCGCGTGAGGGCGTTCGGGTGCGTTTGGGCGAGCGGGACTCCGGCCCAGCTCACCCCACCAGGGTGGGGACAGCGACGGTACCCGCTGGCGGCGAGCGGTACCGCCCTTCGCCCTACTTCCTGCTCCCGGCGGGAGCCCGAGCCCTCGGGCGTCTAGCTCACCTCCACAGACCGCGGCTCACCTGCAGTGGCCGGCGCCGCCCGCGCTCGCGCCAAGAGGCCCCCACGACCCAGCCCGCAACCCGGGCCGCGTCGCCCTCACGCACCGGTCCTGGCTGCTCGCGGGCGGCAGCCTAGCACCAGCGCCGAGGGGCGGGGGAGCGCTGGGCCCGAAGCTGCCCGGCCAATCGTGGGCCAGCGCCGCAGTGGCGGAGCCAATGAGCGACGAGCTCCTGCGAGGCTGGAGGCCGCGGGACGCGCGGCGGCAGCGGGCAGCCTTCTTGCCTTCCCCTTCCCCCCCCCCCTTCCCTGCTTTTAGCTCCCTGGCTTGTCGCAGTGCAGCGTCCCCACCCTCCCAGCGTCTTGTCTCTTAGCAACCAGGTCCTCGTAGCCTCGTCTTAGGTGATCAAAATTGAGTCTAGAAGAAAAGGGGATATGTGGAAGATAAAGGAACTGGAATTAAAGAATGAGTGAAATGGTTCACGGTACCGGTCATTGTGGTATATCTGCTTAGGAACCGGACACTAAGGGTGTCTTGTGTGTAGCATTGTCTGTATCAGAAGGCATCACTTAAGGAATTTAAATAGCTCTGAATTATAAATTCGGTTTTCATACATTAATAGATTTGGCAAGGCTGGGAATCTAGTAAAATGTACAAGGCTCAATTTTGTAGGGAAAATGCAATTGGAATGTGTTTATTCTGTGAAGCCAAATTGTTAGATCAGAAAAGACGGAAAAAGTAAAGCCTTGGGCTGGGGATGTGGCTCAAGTGGTAGTGCGCTCGCCTGGCATGCTTGGGGCACTGGGTTTGATCCTCAATACCACGTAAAAATAAAAGAGAGGTATTGTGTCCACCGAAAACTAAAAAATAAATATTAAAAAAATAAAGCCTCATCCAAATGAATATTGTAATAAAACCTGATGATTAAATAGAGATTAAGTGGTTCACTGTACAGAATGTCACTTTTCTTAAAATTGTATCACTGGTGACTTGAAATCTATTATTGGTGCTGGAGATTGAACCCAGGGCCTTGTGCATGTGAGGCAAGCACTCTACAAACGGAGCTATATCTCCAGCCCTTTTACTATTATTTTTTTGTTCCACAAATACATTAAAGTTAGACGAAGTTAGGTTAGATAAATGCTTACAGAGAAACTACCTGCTATCTGTTTCCTTTTTTCTTCCACACAGGTTGATACTCAGTTGTGAGGGTGGTAAACCGTCTTAAACCATGAGAACAAGAACAATCCATAATGGATTATAGATACATGTATTGGAAAAAATGTCACCTGTGTTAATTTGAAAGGCCGATTAACAATCTTATAGCTCTAAGGGAAGTGGTTCAGAGAAAAAATGTATGTTGGCTATCACTTTTTGCAAAAGAGATGTCAATTAAGAACCAGTTTGCAAACAGATTGAAGAAAATAGAACTATTCTGCTGGAACCCTTGTTGTCCGTGCACATACTACTTAGAGTCTCCAGTGGTCAGTTTGGATACTTAGTATCTCAAGCATTTTCTCATCACTCATCTTTTCTAGGACAACACATATTTACAGATCAACAGAGCTAGAAAGGATCCTTGAGAGATCAACTTCAATCTTTTCAATTTAAAGCTTAAATGTGGATAAAGGTAAGTGGTTTACCCAAGGTCAAATGTTTAACTCATCAGATTCAGTTACATTGGCCAAGGGAGAATTTTTGGCATTTGTACAGATGTTTCTTCTTAACCCTTTAATGCAGAATGGGCAATTTCATCTAAGGCTTCCACCCAATTCACCTTCCTCATCAAGTGTAATCTTTTGTATGCATTAGATCATTTATGCCTCTATTGATTTTAGTACAATCCAAGTTGTTTAAATAAGGAGACCCCCAGCACAGTGTCTGAAACACAATAAAAGGTTATTTCTTTCAAATTATGGTAGAGGTGGGTGGTCCAGGATTGGTAGGGCTGGTTTGTCATCTTTGACATATAGTCAGCATCTAAATGGTTAAAGAACTCTTACTTCTACTTCCATTGCACAGAAGGAATGCAGGGACAGGGCAAGAGAAATACACACCCCATTACTTTTAAAAAATACATTTTGACTGACAAAAATTATATTAATGGTATACAACATACTGTTTTCAAATATATATCCATTGTAGAATGGCAAAAATCAAGTTATTGTATACAGTCTCACATATTTGTGCATTATTATTTATATAATTATTGTGGTGAACACTTAAAAATCTACTCTTAGTAATTTTAAGTGTATAATACATTGTTATTAACTATAGTTACCATGTTATTCAATACCTAATTGAAATTTTGTATCCTTTGACTAACATCTCTACAGTGCCAACACCACTTCAAGCCCCTGGTAACTATCATTTTACTCTTTACATTTGGCTTTAGATTTCACTTATAAGTGAGATCATGCAGTATGTGTCTTTCTGTGCTTGTCTATTTCACTTGGCATAAGGTCCTCCAGGTTCATCCACGTTGTCACAAATTATAGGACTTTCTTCTTTTTTAAAGACTGTACAATTTTCCATTTTGAGTCATCTGAAGACATCTCTTTGACATTGTTTTCATTTTCTTGGGATTATATACAGTAGAGGGATTGCTGGATTGTATGATAGCTCTATTTTTAATATTTTGAGGAACCTCCATAAACTCCCATAACAGCTATACTAATTTCAGTCCCACCAATAGTATGCAAGGAAAACTTTTTCTCTACATCCTTGCCAACAGTTGTCACCTTTGCTTTATTTATTTTTTATGCTATCCTTTCTAATAGGTGTGAGACAGTATCTCAATGCACCCTTTTTTTTTTTTTTGGTAGCAGGGATTGAACCCAGAGGTGCTTCACTATTGAGCTATGCCCCCACCTCTTTTATTTTTTATTTTGAGACCGGGTCTTTCTAAGTTACTGAGAGTAACCTCAAGTTTGCAATGCTCTTGCCTTAGACTCCTGAGTAGCTAGGATTATGCCTTGTGCCTTTGATTTTCATTTCCCTAATAATTAGATGTTGGGCATTTTTCATATACTTACTTGTTGCATGATACAATCCAGAAGTCACATCCATCATCACTTTTTCCTACATCCCATTGGAACTTAACTTCGAAAGAGGTGGCTAGAAAATATAAACTCTTTCTAGCCAACTAAAATGTGGGAGTTCTACTTATAAATTACGGAGTGTGAATATTGGTGGTCAATTAGTTTCTACACCAATAACTCCACCTCAGGGATAAGCTACACAGACATCTATTATTGACTCTATTAAAACAAATTATTTAAAAAACATTTTTAACCATGGTAAAGTGTAAAACTAAAAAGGAACTCCATTTGTACTGAAAAAAGCCCAGAATGTTTATGAATAAAAGGCAATAAAAATAATGCAAATGGCTTTGGGACTCCAACAAGAACAAGACTTTATTTTTTTCTCCATACAAGGCAAAAGTTTGCACAAAACCAAAATTAATGTGTGAAGGTAAACAAAAGGTATTTACATATTCCTTTCACCTGCTTCAAAGTCTCTAAAAAATTAAAAAGTGCGTGTTGGGGGCCATGTTCATTTCTCATGTATTTCTGATGGTTATATCTGAGTAGAGAGCTTTTTTAACTACCAGAAAATGGAGGCCCCTATTTATAATACCCACTTGAGATTCCAAGTGTTGAGACTACAAGTCCTACGTGGCATCATCACACAAGTGTGCCCAACATTGCAGAATCCTGATTGCTTATTGCTTAACAGTATTTCCCCCTTTGTTTTTTTTAATATTTATTTTTTAGTTGTAGTTGGACACAACACCTTTATTTCACTTATTTATTTTTATGTGGTGCTGAGGATTGAACCCAGGGTCTCATGCGTGCAGGGCGAGCACTCTACCGCTGAGCCACAACCCCAGCCCCTCCCCCGTTGTCTTTTAATACCTGTACAGGAAAACAGAGAGAATATCCCATTCTTATAATAGAGTAGTACTCAAGAATATTCCTGTTCCTAAAATATATTTTTTCACTTGATCTCATTAGCAGGATTCCTTAGTGTCTGATTCAAAATCACATATTGATAACATGGAAATTAACAAATGGCTATTAACAGCAGGAGTTAATACATACCAAGTCCTTACTATATGTCAGGTGCTCTGCTAAGTGCATGAAACAGAATCCTTTAGTCCTCTCAACAACTCCCTGAAGTAGTTACGATTTTTATAGATGAGGAAATTTTGTAGATAAGTGAGATTTGGAGGTTAAGTTCTCTTAGAAAGCTAACTAGCAGTTTGACAGAGCTGGAACTTAAACATAAGGCTTGACCTTTTTAAAAATTTTGATCAGAAGTAATATATTCTGCCCTTAAAAATGCACAGATTCCTCTAACTGGTATCCACAATAATTTTTATTAGTTCGGTAGGCATCTTACTTCTCATCTTCCAATCCTAGAAATGTATGAAAGAACTTGATCCATTTTCAACTTATAGAATATTAATAAGCTTCAAATGGAAAATGTGTTAACCATTCATATTAAGATATTCATCTTTTTGGTATTTTATTTACAGACAGGGTTTCACTAAGGTGCTTAGTGCCTTGCTTTTTTTGCTGAGACCGGCTTTAAACTCATAATCTTCCTGTCTCAGCCTCCTGAGCTGCTGGGATTACAGACGTGCGTCATCATACCCGGTGCCATTTTGGTTGTTTTTTAAGTTTGCATTTTAACATACAAATGGAAAAACATATTTAATAATTTAATACAGTGGTTGAAGAGTGGATTTTTTCCAATTAATTATGAGTTTGGTTGCTGAAAATCATTGCACATGGTTTACAAAGAGTTTCAAAGAATGTTATTATTGATTACAAAATACACTCAAAACTATACATTATAAATGTATCTTTCCTCTCATAAGCCAGAAAGCACTTAGTTATTTTCTAGATCTTAAAGCAGAAGTTTTCTAATACTCGTTTCACTTTAGGGCCCTGTGAAGATCTGTGGCAAAATGAGAAAAATAAGTGAAATTGTTATAGTTGCTGGTTTATTAAGTTTGCTAACACTTTTTTTTTCCCAAAATGATACCTTTTCTACTTTTTAGTATTGATATCTTTCATTCCTTTTTTTCTCCTCACATCCCCTTGAGAATATATTTCCTAATTTCAAACTAAGGATTAGTTTTTAGAAAATAAATACCTTTAATAGTTAAAAAACCCAGAACATCCCAAAGAAACAAACCCATCACATATCATTAATTTCTCAAAAGGTTAAATTGTAATAATTGGTTATTAGAGTATGGAAATTGGAGTTCTGGGAGAGGACTACATGTGAGACTCTCCTGGTTATCAAAACAGACCTTGGCTAAGATTCACACATTCAAGCACTGTTGATCTCCAAGGAAGTGGGGGAGAAGGCAAAAACCAATCAAAACTGATGAGCTGAAAAACTAGGCAGAAGGGAGGAATGTGGGTTCCTTGTGGGTAGACAGCCTTATAAGTAGCCTAGCTGTCAGGATATAAAGCTTTAGGCCAGTAAATAAAATGGGAGAAGGTGATCCTGGTTTCTTACTCTTATGTAAGATCTTCAAGGGAGGTCTAACATGGTTCCATAATGGTGATACTCCCACAGTACTTACCAGCATGGGCAGAAGCAAATCTTCTGTGGAGTCAAGACTTCCCCAGTATTGGCCTGTAGAATTCATATATATTAACAAGCAAATAACTACTAAATATCACTATATATGTGAAGAGGCCAGACACTGAGAGTCAGACAAAACAACAAACATTTTATTCCTAAGGATTGCAGATAATGGAATTCTTAGAGACATAACATAGTGTGCTTAAATGAAGGCCACAATAAATTAACAGGAATGAACAGCAGATTAAAAGATGAATTCTAGCTGGGTGTAGTGGCACACGCTTGTTTGTAATCCTAGTGGCTTGGGAAGCTGAGGCAAGAGGATTATGAGTTCAAAGCCAGCCTCAGCAAAAGCAAGGTGCTAAGCAACTCAGTGAGACCCTGTCTCTAAATAAAATACGAAATAGGGCTGGAGATGTGGTTCAGTGGTTGAATGCCCCTGAGTTCAATCCCGGTACCTGCCCCCCTACCAAAAAAAAAGACAAATTCTAGATAAAACATAATCGTTGAGATATAATAATTTTTAAAATTTAAAATATAAGTATTAAAATGTAATTATGGAAACTTAAAGAAACCTCAGTGAATGAATTAAATGATAAATTAGACACAGCTGAGTGAATAGCTGAGTAATACATAATATACATTAAATAAGTATTCAGATTAGAGCACAGAGACAAAGAGATGGAAATTAAGAAAAGGGAAGACAAAGTGAGGTCTAATATAGGTCTAATTTTAAGTTCCCAAAAGAACACACAGAATGAATATAACAGTTGTGAATTTCCTGACTTGATTAGAAAAATGAATCTAAAAATCCACAGATCCTAGAAGCAAATGCATTAGAAACAGAATAGATAAGATGAAATTGATAGGAGGCAAAGTATCAATTCTAATTATTCCATCTAAAAGGCATGCTTTCAAATTCACCATAGGTTACTGAACCAGCCTAGGTGTCCTGTCAACAGATGAATGGATTAAGAAAATGTGGTAAATAGATACAATGGAGTTTTACTCAGCTAAAAAGAAGAATGAAGTTATGTCACTTGCAGGAAAATGGATAGAACTGGAAAAATCAGCAAAGTAGAATAATAGGATTAGTGGGAGGGAGAAGAGGAGGAAAAGATGAGGTACTGGGGGAATGAAATTGACCAAGTTATGTATGTTATGTGCAGGTATGAATATATCAAAATGAACCCTGTTATAATGTATAATTATAATGTGCCAATAAAAAATTTAAAAATAAAGGGAATATTCCCTATATGACTTGCCTTTTTACCCTGGGGCTTATTTCCCAACTGAAGCCTACCTATTGGCTTTAAACTAAAACTTCTTCAGTATGCTGGATTATGAAAAAGATATACATATGTTTAAATGACTTAAAATTTAAATGATCAAGGACATACTGTATGATTTTTTAACAAATTAATCTCAACTTCTTAAATCTACTAATAGTACAAATGACAAAATATGACACTGGTGCATTACTTATGAATGTCTAGGGAACTGGTGCATACTATAGCTTGTAGTTGTGAAGTAAAGGTATTACTTTATATCATTTCAATGTCTTTTATCGTTGTTAGTTGTAATTTCATAATGACATCCATATATTCTTTTCAGAATGAAATCTTTTGGTATTAATGACAGTATTAGGAGGCAAAACAATATATGCTACAAAGGGGGAAAAAGGATGAAAAGATAATGCAGAGAGAGAAGAAAAAAAGGTATAGTTTAAAACAGGGTGACATGAAGAAATCACTGACATGATTCTTAACCAATGACTAGAAAGATGCAGAAGAAAGCTATAAGGGTGTCTGGCAGAAGAGTGTTCCAGATCTAGGAAAATATCTGTGAAGGTCCTCAGTTGGAAATATGCCTAAAATATTCAAGTAATAGTAAGGAAGTTTGATACCTGGGAAGAGAGCGGTAGTTTGAATGGGATAAGATGGTCTGACATAAAACTGAAAGAACTGAAGTTTTACTGAATCAAATGGGAAGCCACTTGAAGACTGAGAACTGTCTCCTGGATTGCAGTGTGGTGGTCATTGATAACCTCAAGAAGAGTGACTTTTCATGATGGCAAAATATTTTGCTGAGTCAAATGGAAACCAGAGGATTATTGTGATCTGATGTAGATCAAAAAGAAAAAACAGACCCTGATTATTCTGTTCATGTTATTTTTTGTTTTCTTTTTGTTACTGGGGATTGAACCCAGGGATGCTTAACCACTGAGCCACATCCCCATCTTTTTTATTTTGAGACAGGGTCTTGCTAAGTTGTTTAGGTTGGCTTTGAACTTGTAATCCTCCAGCCTCAGCCTCTGGAGTCACTGGGATTATAGGTGTGTGCCATTGTGTCCAACTCTCTGCTCTTGTCTTGACAACAGATTGTAGGTTTGGTGAAGTAAGGGCAGAAGCAGAGAGATAAGTCAGAAGCCTATTACAATAGTCTAGGTGAGCAATGATGTGGCTTGCACTGGGGAAGAGGTAGTAGAGATGATGAGGAGTGGTCAAAGGCATTTCTTGATATATACAGGATACATGACAAAGAGAGATGATTCCAAAGTCTTTGGCATGAACAAGTAAAAAGAAAGATACAGTTGCCATTTACTGATAGAGGATGAGAAGAAGGAACAGGTTTTGAAGGGAAAGTCAGGAATTAGGTTTAGGCATATCAAGTGTGAATGCCAAGCAGAGATAGTGAACTGGCAGGTGACTATATGATGATTCTGGAGTTCAGATAAAGGATTGGAACTGGATATAAAAATTTTGCAATTAAGAACATATGGTATTCTAAGCCATTAGATTGGATGAGATAATCAATTAAATGAGTATAGAGAAGTCCAAGGGCTAAACCCTGGGGCCCTCCAACATTTAAGAGTAGAGAGATGAAGAGGAACCAGAAATGAAGACTAAAAATAAAAGGTCAACAAAATTGCAGGGAAACAGGGCTGGGGTTGTGGCTCAGTGGTAGAGTGCATGCCTAGCACATGTGAGACGCTGGGTTGGATAATCAGCACCACATAAAAATAAATAAATAAATTAAAGATATTGTGACCAACTACAACTAAAAAAATAAAAAATAAAAATGCAGGGAAACCAGGAGAATGTGATCCTCTGAAAAAACAAATTCAAGGAAGAAGGAATAAAATGAGTCAAATAGAATGAAGACAGAACTTCCCATTGGATTGCAGTGCAGTGGTCACTGGTTACCTCAAGAGTTATCCATTCTTTCCATTGGTGAGGGCAAAAACCTGCTGAAGTAAGTTCAAGACAGAAGAGAGGGAGTGCATTCTGTAGCACAGTGACAACTCTCTCAAGGGTATATGGCTATCGAAAACCAGTTTCACCTTTATCTCCTTTCTCCTCAAAAATCTCCCCTAAAATTATAATAAAAAATGAGTTATTAAATAACAAGGATAAAGAATGAAAATGAAGACAATAAAATATGAGACTTTTGTGAGGCTGGGATTTTGGTTCAGAGATAGAGCACTTGTCTACCATGCGTGAGGCAACGGGTTCGATCCTCAGCACCACAAAGAGGTAGAATAAGGATATTGTGTCCACCTATAACTAAAAAATAAATATTAAAAAAATGAGACTTTTAGAAATCAGAAAGCAAATGGTGGGAGATAATTAATTTAGAAGAACAGATGAAATCACATCTAAGAGTGATTTTAACAACTAAGACCACATCAGGTACCATTCTTTACAGCCATGTACAATATGTAGAAACTTGGCAAATGAAAAAATAAAAACAGGGCAATTTCAATGCAAGGGAAACCAGAATGCTTTATAATAAATGAATAAGAGAGGGATGAAACAGTATTTACATGATCACAATGAAACACTTTTACTAACTTGAAAGTTGAAATAGTGTATTAGGAAGATGAGATAAGAGGATGTGGGGTGGTAGTATAATGTAGTCAAGGTCTTCCTGTAGGGGAGTGTGTTGACTGATAATATCTAAAATTGATAAATCAAGAAATAGCAGAACAAGGATATTATTTAGAATAAGGTAAATACTAAAGAATGGGTAAAAAGAAACAAAAAAATTTTAAAAGTTGGGGATCTAGATCAGTGGTAGAGTGCTTGCCAAGCACATACTGGGCTCTTGCTTTAATACTCAGTACTGAAAAAAAAAAGTATGATGTTATGGTTTAGATACGTTTTAGGTGTTCTCCAAAAGCTCATGTGAGACATATAAGAAAGTTTAAAGGCAAAATTATTGGGTTATGAAAGCCTTAGTCTAAACAGTGCATTAGTCCTCTAGTAGTGATTAACTGGGTGGTAACTGTAGGCAGGTAGGATGTGGCTGGAAGAGGTATGTCATGGGGGATGAGCCTTTGGGGTACATATTTTGTTCTTGGTGAGTGGAAATTTCTCTTTGCTTCCTGGTGCCACATCCCCAGCTGCTTTCCTCTGCCACACTCTTCTGCCATGATGTTCTGCCTCACTTTAGGCCCTGAGGAATGGAGTCAGTTATCTGTGGACTAAGAACTCAAAATGGTGAGTGCCAAATAAACATTTCCTCTGTGACATTGTTCTTATCTCAGTTCCTTTGTTCACAAAAAAAAAAAAAAAAGAATTAGTACTAGGAGTGGGGGTGTTGCTGTGACTAACCTAACCATGTGGTTTAGAAGCTTTGTGGAATTTGTGGAAGGAATTTTGGAAAGTTTAATGATGCACTAGAAAAGCACTAGAATGTTATAAGTAAAACTTAATGGTGGAGTTCAGAAGATAAGAATGCTAATAGGACTAAGGACAGTAAAGACTGGCCTTATGAGGTTTCAGAGGATAAGGAGGGCTCTATTGGAAATTGCACTAGAGTTCATTCATATTATGTTCTGGCTAATTAGTTGTCTATACTTTCCTATGGCCTGAGACTTTCTGTGAAGCCAAATTCTGTAGATGCCTTAATCTGGCAGAGGAAATTTCAAGGCAGCACAACATTCAGATGGTGGCATGGATATTGCTGGCAACTTTTATCTAAATTTATTGTGATTATTAGAGGCAGAAAGCAGAGCAGAAAGATTTGAGCTGGGCATGGTGGTGTATACCTGTAATCCCAGCAGCTCTGGAGGCTGAGGCAGGAGGATTGCGAGTTCAAAGTTAGTCTCAGCAACTTAAGGAGACACTGTTTCTAAATAAAATATTTAAAAAAAAACGCTGGGGATGTGGCTTAGTGGATAAGAGTCCTGGTACCAAAACAAACAAAACCTTTCAGTTTGGCCAGAAAACTGTAACACTGGGGCTAAGGAAGTTGTGGTTGTTAAGAAATAATAGCCACTAAAGAAACATTAGATACTTTACCAAGAAACAATAGGAAAAATGGTCTTAAGATTATCTCAGGAGGGGCTGGGGATGTGGCTCAAGTGGTAGTGCGCTCACCTGGCATGCGTGCGGCCAGGGTTCGATCCTCAGCACCACATACAAAGATATTGTGTCTGCCGAAAACTAAAAAATATTAAAATACTCTCTCTCTCTCTTAAAAAAAAAAAGATATCTCAGGAATTGACAGGCTCAAGCTTGTAACACTACAAGCACCTGGCTTGCAAAGGAGGACCTAGGAATTGGTTCACTATGTTTAGCCACCTAGGTACTTAGAAACTGTTGCAGTCATGGTTCCTTGGGGCTTGCTACTGCTGGAGATGGTGACAGACCTTGGAATCAACCACATTCTGCAGGACTGCAGGATGCTGGAGTTAGGGAGTCATAGAGGTTCCCACCAAGATTTCAAAGGAAGGCCTTAGAGGCCAGGACAAGTGCAGCAGGGTACTAGTCCCTGCAGGCTGCCCTAAGAGGGTGATGCATGAATATATGAGACGGAAGCCAAAGTTGCAATGGAGACTCCTGAGATTAAGAGAGGCCAATACTATGGAACATCTGCCGAGGAAGTCTGTAGGAATTCAGCAGAAATAAGCAAACAGAGAGGCCATGTGGGCTGCAACAAGCAGGATCATAAGAGCAGAGCTAGCTATACAAGTCCTTTGGAGAGAATATCACGATGCCATGTGCCCTAGATGTTGAATGTGGAAATAAAGGACTTGTTCTTCACAGCTCGATTTTGGTCCCATCCCTTCTTTCTGTGCTCCTGTTTCTCCCTTGTGGAATGATAATATTTAGTCTGTACCTTTAAATATTGAAAATATGTAACTTGCTTCTTATTTTTACAGTGGGTAACACTAAGAATTTGTCTTGAGTCTCAGAGGAGACATTGGACTTGTATTACTGAGACTATAGGGACACTTGAAAATGTATATTATGGGGGCCAAATGTATTTTGCATTATTAGATGGGCATGAGCTTTGGGGGCCAAGGGCAGAAATGTTATGGTTTAGATGAGGTGTCTCCCAAAAGCTCATGTGTGAGACAACGCAAGAAAGTTTAGAGGTCAATTGATTAGGTTAAGAGAGTTTTGACCTAATCATTACATTATTCCCCTAATAGGGATTAACTGGGTAGTAACTGTTGGGAGTTAAGTGTGGCTGGAGGAGATGCATCATGGAGATGAGCCTTTGGGGTATATATTTTGTTCTTGGTAAGTGGAGCGCTCTCTGCTTCCTGATGCCATGTCCCCAGCTGCTTTCCTCTGCCTCACATTTCTTCCATGATGTTCTGCCTTACCTTAGGCCCTGAGAATGGAGTCAGACATTTATGTACTAAGATCTTTGAAACCACGAGCCCCAAATAAACTTTTCCTTTGCAATATTGTGCTTGTCAGGTCTTTTTGGTCATAGCAGGGAAAAAGCTGACTAAAATATAAGATTAGGAGGCTGGGGTTGTGGCTCAGTGGTATAGCACTTGCCTAGCATGTGTGAGGCACTGGGTTTGATCCTCAGCACCACATATAAATTAATAAACGTCCATCAACAACTAATAAAATATTAAAAAATATGATTAATGCAAAAACTTATAGAAAGATGGCAGAAGTATATGAAGTAATAATTGATAAAATAATTGATGGGAAACTATACCAGTAAGTAGAAGTTTTTAACAAAAAGTTGTTAGAGACAAAAAATAAGCAATTATAAAAGGCAAATTGAAAAGCTAACAGACTCTTCAATATAACAATTTTTTATTCCATGTTTCCTTATGGCAGTTATTTCCCTAGAATATCATTTGTGCTGCTGCTTTCTACTTCCTTCCTTCTCTTTCTGTTTCTTAGAAGAGTGAGTTGGTATATTTGGAAGAAGAAACTATAACATTAGGTTTTTCAGTCCCTCTGTACTCTCATTGGATCTGTTGACCTACACTAAAGGATATTTTTGGTCTGTTTTCCTAGTCATTATGTATGTTTGATGGGCCACCACTACCCGAGGTTGCATACATGAATTCAGGGAAATATTAGTAAACCTTATAACAGCCCCTATGAACTAGATTTAACACTAACAAAGTTCACTGCCAGCAAGTCCCACCTGTCTTCTCAAAGCATTCAACTAACTTTTCAATCTCTTAAGTGTAAGCAAGCAACAAACAATCACCATAAAAACAAGGACAGCCTCTATCATGAAAAACAAAGATTGATCTCACACACACACACACACAAACACACACACACACACACACACACACAGACAGACAGACTGACTGACTTAGGAAAATGGAAACTTCAAAACAAAATAATTCAGTCATTAATATCCTCAGATTGATTCTGTTAGACTAGCAAAAGATGCTATTAAAAAAGTCTTTAAGAGGGGGAAAGATTCATATCAAGAAATTTTCAGAACTGAAGGATACAAATTTCTAAACTGAATGGGCTTATTACATACTCTTCACAATGTATTGAAATATATCCATACCAAGGGACATTATAAAATTTACAAATGCTTAAATCAAACAAGATCCTACAAGCTTCCAGAGAGAAGGAAAAATAGAAACAAACAAAATAGGTCCCATACAAAAAAAATCAAGAATTAGAATGGCTTCAGACAGATTGATTTCTCAGCTATAAGCCAGAAGACAACAAAGAAATCCATTGAAAATTTTAAGGAAAAACATGTCAACTTGGAATTCTGCACTCAAATTTCTATTCAAATTGAAAGAATTATAGACATTTCAGGCATATAGGTCTTAAACTTTTTCTGGGGAAGTGACTCAGTGGTAGAACACTTGCCTGGCATGCACGAGGCCCTGGGTTCAATCCCCAATACTGTAAAAATGTCTCAAACTTTACCTTCCATGAAAGCCTTTCTCAGGAACTTTTAGAAAATATATTCTGTCTCCAACTAAATCAAAGAGGTAAATGTGGGTATGAAAACAAGAAAGATCAGAAGACCTCAAGAAAATGAAGTGAGAACCCAGCATAACAGTTGTGCATCAAAGAGCAACCGGTTCTTAAGTGTACAAATGATACAAAACATACTGAAAGCTATCTTCAACATGCTACCTTCTGTTGTCACATATTTTAATCTGATGATGCTTGGGTGAGCCTGGCCTAGATTTTTATCAATATTTGGTTTTCTGAACCTTGTGCTAATGAAGTCCTTCTTTCCTTCAAACATTGCTCCTTAGAGTGTTTGAGAACCCACAAGTGTTCTGCTTTGATTTACTCCTGAGAGCTGCAGAGGGCTTAAAAGTGGAAAACCCTAAGTGGCCTGCACTCCCTAACTTTGTTATAGGCAGATATCCAGTTTCAGCAGCTAGTTTATCTTTTAAAATACACTAATCATGGATAACCCTATGTTTCCCAAGGTTTGCTGAGGGCCTTTCCCAGTGACTTCCACAGAAAAGGCATTAATAAATTTCTTGAGAAAATGAAGCCAGACTATGACCCAGCTCCTCTATTCAGGTTAATTTCTCTAAGGATACTTCATCAAATAGTGGCAATACTGTCTTTCCTTAATACAGCCAGGTTTCTCCATGCTACTCATTTATGTGTGCTTTTTAATAAATCAAATTATTTCACTGAAGAAATTGTATAAAGAATGCAAGAATGACTCAATGTCAGAACATAAATTTCTTTCATCATTAATTACTATTACTAAAGGTAAAAAAAAAACAGATGATCTAGACAAATGATTTAAAGTAGCAATCAAAAGGAATTTCTAATAAAATCCAACTAGCATAAAACTCATAGCAAGTATCACATTTAATAGAGCAACTTTAGACTCTTTGAGGCAGAAATACGAAAAAAAACCACAGCTGTGAACTACAGACTTACAATTGAGGCATATCAATAAAAGGGAATGAAAAGAATGAAAACCAAAGAGGATGAGAAAAACTATCATTATTTGCATATAGAAAGACAACTCAAGAAAATCAATATTAGAAACTCAGTATTCATCAAAACTGTAAACAAGAGATCAGTATATTATGTATAATCTACTTCTCTGCAGAATAATAGGATATTATTTTGATGGTGATAACAATTAATTAGCCAAATAAATAAAACAGGATACTATGAATAAATGGAGAGATTTACATTCATGAATGGGATGATTTTATCTTGTAAATATGCCAATTCTGTCTATATTAATCTATGAATTCAACCCAACTCTAATAAAAACTTCAGCAGTTTATTTTAGGTAACTTAATAAAATAATACTAAAATTTATATGGAATATAAATATCTATTTTTAACAGAATAAGACAAAAGTTATTCACCCATTTGATAGGAAGAAATCTTACAAAGTTAATATTAAGACAATGTTGGCCTGGGAAAGGAACTGACATATACCAGTAGAATAGTTTTGTTTTTGGGAAAATTGACTGCAATTCTGTTCAGCATACTCAGAAGACACTCACATGCTGAAAGATCCAAAACAATATAACTTTTACCAAGGATACTTAAAGCTGGAAGGATACAGCACACTAAACAAAAGCATGTAGAGAAGAGTATCTTACTACATGGGAATAAGCCTCCCATGCAGCAGGAAACACTGCCTTGTAAAAATCCTTGCAGATATGTTCCAAGTCTCTGCTATAAGGAATAAACTCAGTTAGCAGAGTTATAACTTACTTTTTAGTTGTAGATAGACACAATATCTTTACTTATTTTTATGTGGTGCTGAGGATCGAACCCAATACCTCACACGTGTTAGGCAAGTGCTTGACCACTGAGCCACAACCCCAGCCCCTCCTTTTCTTTTTAGAGCTAAAATGTTGCTGGTAAATTGCTAATATTCCATATTTATTTTAACCCAGTAGATTTCCAAGGAAACAGTGGTTTGAAAATATAAACTCAAGACAATTTTTTCAGAGAGAGGGAGAGAGAAGGGGTTTTGTTAATTCCTTTCCCCCTAATGAATAGATGTAGAAAAAACTGAATTTGCATCTCATACTAAGGGAAAAATAATTCCAATTAAAGACCTAAAGGTACAAGGTAAATTATAAACAGAAAAACAAGATCTAAAAAACACAAAAAATTGGGGATTTCTGTTTCATGAAAGATACTAAAAAATGAGAATTAGCAAAAGAATAAGGTATTTCCATTATCTCAATCTGACAGGGAATAATATTGAGGAGATATGTATATATATATATATATATATATATATATATATATATATATAATTTTTTATATTGTAGTCAGCAAGGAGAAAAACCTAATAGAAAGTGGACAAATTCTAAGTATAGGCAATGCATAGAATGGAAACTCAGAATGATTAAAAAGCATAATTTACCCTGAGTAATCAGATAATGCATATTAAGAAAAAGTACTATCATACACATCAGATTAGCGAAAAATCAAAGTATCAAGTGCTGCTGAAGATGTAGAGAAAATAAAGCCTTATGTCTTGCTGGTAGAAGGAAAACTGGTACAACCATTCCCAAGGATAATCCAGAAGTACTTAGTGAAATTAAGTATTCATATACTCAAATATATACCATATATATACCAAAGAAACTACAGGGCAGGCTCATAGGAACACATGTATAAGTCTGCAGATGTGCGAACAGATAGGAACAACTTAAGTACTTGAGTTATAACATGTAAACACAATACAATAATGTATACTAGTTAGAAGCATGTTAAATATAAGTAACATGAATAGGTTTTGAAAATCTACTATTTTATGAGTTATAGAATCAAATTTATACCATAGTTTCATTTACATAAAATTTAAAAACATAAGGATTATTATGTAGCTTTTTAAGAAAATACATCCAAAATATTGAAGATGTTTTGGAAGAAAAATGCTAAATATAGTATGGAATGAGAGCATAGACTTGTAGGCGGAGGATAAAAACTATTAAGGTAAAATAAAACAACATGTCTAGTACAGAAAGGCTAATGAAGAGTATGATAAAAAATGACTCAATTCTGAGCACCTGAGGTCCTTCAAAAACACTTATTTTACCCAAGCAGAAACTCAATTTTAAGACTTAAGTTAGATCAAACATTATTATAGGGCATAACATAGTTCATACCCCACAAGATTCATGAGTTCCTTGACCTTAAAATAGTTAATCTTCTCTGATAAGAAAAAATTAAAAATTATATAATATGAAAGGACATTTCAAGGCAATACTGAGAAAACAAAATTTCTTGTGTTGAACAAATATACCACTGTGTTTTTCTAAGCTAGGCTATTCTGGTATTAAAAAAATAATTTAAAATTACATTTTGGGCAAAGTTATTATCTACTTTTAGTTTTAAATTAGATGTAATTTTAGTTAAATATGTATGCATCTGAAATACTCTGACACTTTCATAGGATTAAAGAAGTTTAAAAATACATTAAAACTTACAAAACATGTAATTACCATAACATTTCACATCTGATTGTGCTATTTACATGTGTGTGAATATATATGTATATATATATTTATATATTTATATATATTTTAAATAATGCACTCATGTAGCTGGGAGTGGTGGCACATTCCTATAATCCCAGTGACTTGGGAGACTGAGGGAGGAGGATCCAAAGTTCAAGGCTAGCCTCATCAATTTAAGCAGACACTTGTTTCAAAATAAAAAAAAATGGGTGGCTCGGTGGTTAAGTACTCCTGAGTTCATCCAATCCCTCACACCCCCTACCCCAACCAAAAACCAAGAAAACAAAACTCTCATGAAGCAGGTGTAGCACCTATCCTCAATATTATCAATGAGGAAACTGCAAAATAAATAATTAAACTTTGGAATTAGTGCTGTCCAAACTAGAATCTAGGTTTCCCAAAATCTAAATTCAAGGTCTTATTTAAGTTTCCTGTAGGTGATTTTTTTAATAATTATTTATTTTTTAGGTGTAGATGCCTTTATTTTTATGTGGTGCTGAGGATGGAACCCGGGTCCCGCCTGCACTAGGCGAGCACACAATCGCTGAGCCACAATCCTAGCCCCTAGGTAATTTCTATATAAATATAAATCTAGCATTTTTATTTACATCACAAAGAAATAGAATAGTTACACTGGTGGGCAGTAAGTAGGTAATATACACAATGATATGAAGAAAAATGGAGACTTTCCAAACTTCAAGAGTTAAGAGCCTTTTTTTTTTTTTTTTTTTTGAGTACCGGAGATTGAACTCAGAGGTACTTCACCACTGAGCCACATCCCCAGCCCTAATTTGTATTTTATTTAAAGACAGGGTCTCACTGAGTTGCCATTGCTGAGGCTGGCTTTGAACTCACAATCCTCCTGCTTCAGCCTCCTGAACTGCTAGGATTACAGGCTTGGGCCACCGTGCCCAGCTAGGGTCAATCAAGCTTAATATATTTTTATTTCTCTAGTAAAAGTTCACAGTCTATAAAAATAAAGATTTAACTGCAATTTGCTCTTTTTTCCATTAAAGAAAGCACCAAATAAGGATAACTCTCTTCAAGTTAATGTTGAATTGCTACACTGACTAAATCAAATACCTAAATGTCATGAAAATTTATAGTCCTTATTACTTTTTTCTTTCTCGAATAAATAAAATGTCATCAGATAAATTAGAAAATTGTTTCCTTACTATGACTTATGATTTATTTAACTTAAAATTTGGTTTCTATAAAGTAGCACTCTTCTAGAGTTTTAATAGAAAGAGAACTGTTAAACAGAGTTATATGTTAGATATCACCTGCTGTAATTTAGCATACTTAACCAAAGAAAGGTGAAATTGTTTTCTTTCATTTTGTACTATACTCCTTTCCTTATACATCTTTAATAGCTGTCACAAATATTATCTTAATGACTCAACTTTTCTAACCTAAATAATGCTGACAAAACATTTATTTATTTCTAGCATTCAATTTAGATGTCTCAAGACCAAATGTTAATAATTTGTTTTATTAAAAATGTGCTTCAAGAACAAAATTTCCATAAATTAGTCTCTAACAATTCAAAGAACCTTTAATTGTAAAACAAATGAAAAACAATAATATGAGAAACTTTTACCTTTTTAATTTGAGGGCTAATATGTATATATTAGAAAAATAGGTATAAGATAATAAATTTTACTACATGTACTTATTTTTTTCCGCATAGGGTAAAGATTTCCATTTTAAATAATATGTTTATGTCATTTCAAAAAAGGGCTTCCTAAGAAGCTGTTAGCAAAGTTGTATTCTGGGTATATAGATATAGTTTAATCTGAACTATTCTTGAGTTACTTGTTTGAAAAACACAAATCTATAAGAAAGATAAAAATACTAAATCACAATTTTTATAAAAATTGTTCTTGACAATATTTATAAATGTATTCTTGCATACCTATATTCCTGATAGTATTAATCTGTAGTACGATCACAGCAAGTGTATGAATTTTCCAATTTTATGGGGAAATATTCAGTATACTAAAACTTGTTTAAGATCATTATTAAGCATAAAACAAACAAATAGTACTATTACATTCTAAATGGCAAATGAATATTTTATTTATAGTTTCAGGAGTAAAAACTAAATCTAAAAGAAATGCATAGTCAATATGACACATTTTCAGTGTTAATGAACATCCAGAATATGAAATTTCTGTACTAGGTAGAAGCAGAGACTATATGAAAAGATTAAAAATCATTACTATTAGAACTGATCATATCATTAAGTACAAACTCAAAAGACTTGAGTCTTTGTTGGAGAAAAATGTAAATCTTTCATATATTTTGATTTATCCAGAATGAAAACTAGTTGTATTGCAAAGATAAGAATTATACTCTATCATTGTAGAACCATTTCCTTCATTAAGCTTCTAATGACCTTTTCAAGTTGAATTTTTATAAATACAAGAAAAGATAATGTCAACTGTGGGTAAAAACATACTACTACATAAAGTAAACCTAACACTGGATAAAACACAGATCAGAAAATTTTTATTATTCAGTTTACTAAGAGTATAAACCATTAGACTTTTTGTCTGTTTTCATATTTGTTATCACCCAATTTCTAAAGATTTCAATTAATCTAGAACTTTTAGAAGCACTAATGATCCCTTATGTTGTAAACCATGCATTCTATAATTCATCAGTCTTATTTTTCAAATAAATTTAGGATTTAAATATGATGAAAATGACAAGCTTTCCATAATCTTAAAAGCCCACCTCATGGTCCAATAAATTGTAAAGTATAACCAGGTCACTCGACCAACTAGTGTAAAATACATAGAACTTTAATAATTCCCATTTAGAACTTTTAATAATTTCTAGCAGCAAAACACCTGGAATAGATAATAACAAATATTTTCCTTCAATTGTAGATTAATTTTTTGTAAGAAATAATTTTAAAAAGAATTCCAAAGTATTGTTCAACTGCACTCAAATATGAAAGATATCAAAGATCTTGTTTATCTCCACTTTTCCCTGTGGAATCAGGTGCACTCGGAACCTTATTAGTTTCAACAAAAACAGATTCAAAGGCAGCTTCCTGTTCATCCAAAGAATCGGCAGCCGTGGCTCCTTTAATTAGTGTTGGGTTGGTAAAAGATTGTTGCTGCTTAGAAATTTTACTTGATTCCACCGTTTTTCTACCTCTTCTTTTACCAAGAATTTTGACATAATTCGCAGGTATAAGTCCTGTTGTTTGACCATCAAGACTAGCCAGAAGCCAACCACGCACTTTGGGTTGTTGTTCTGATGGAAAAAAGACAATTTTGTAATTATACTTTGGATATCCAACAATATTAATGGTAAATATTAAGTAAAATCTATATTGCAATTTTATAAATAACATCTGAACAAATAGTACATGCATGTATATTCAAAATCAAATGCTGAGTAGGTTTATCAGTTCAGGATTTTTTTTTTCTTCCCCAAGACAGGGTCTCACTATGTTACCTAGGCTGGCCTCAAACTTCAGGCTCAAGCAATCCTCTTGCTTTAGGTTTCTGACTGGGCCTACAGGCACACATCACTATGCCTCACTTTAAGTCCATTCCTATATTTTGTATTTTTTTATTTTCTACTAATTCTTTTTGACTTGAAGAATAAAACAGTAAAAGTTAATCTCAGCAGGTCTACTTATAGTGTAAGCAGATTCAGTTCTCTCAAAAATCTAAAAACATCAGTGTCTTTTTTATTAAATTTGAATCTAAGGAATATCTAATTCTTTTACTCATTTGGGTAAATTAGGGGCAAGATTAGAAAGTAAATGTATACTTTCTCTCTTTTAAAGAGATAGGATCGCACTATGTTGGCCAGGCTGGTCCTAAACTTCTAGTCTCAAGTGACCAAGTGACCCTCCTGCTTCAGTCTCCTGAGTAGCTAGTAATTCAGGGACATGCCAACAACACTGGTTTTTAAAGACACATACAATTTTATGCAGTCAGTTTTCCTTATGTAACTTTTGGCCCAAATATAAACTCATTCCATGTGATTGTGATAACTAATCCTGAAGATAGTGAAAATTAACTTTAAAGATGAGAAAAATTTGAACATTGAAGGTATTTTTTTTCCCATGTAAAGAATGACTTAGTTTTAGTAAGCAGCAAAGAAAGTTTCCCTTAATATATACTTATATATGGAAAAGTTAGCCAGAGTGGTTAAAAGCATAGGCTCTAAGTCCGACAAACTCAGACTCATAATCCAGCTCTACCAAATTTTAGCTTTCTGTACTAGACAATTAACTCATTCTATGTTTCCTCACTTGTAAAATAGGGTTAGGATAACAAAGGTGACTTTCTGTAATAATCGTGAAGTCCCCACAAACACTTTTTTGAAAAAAATTTTTTAGTTGTAGTTGTACCCAATACCTTTATTAATTAATTTTTATGTGGTACTGAGGATCGAACACAGTGCCTCATATGTGCTAGGCGAGCGCTCTACTGCTAAGCCATAACCCCAGCCCCAAACACACACATTTTTAAGAAATAAATTCACGAAAATCCTGGTTGTTCTTCCTGAAGAAAAGTGAAGGAAAAGATCATTTTGTCTGAGAAGTCATTAAAAACTATTAGTGACCTGGTCCAAAAATAAATCTGAGATATGTATGAATTTATTGCTGAGGTTCTCAAATACTTTATAATGATAATTCTTAGGATACTCATGATAGAGTTTCTTTTTCCTTTTTTTGTGGTATTGGGGATTGATCCCAATGTCTTATACATTCTATGCAAGCACTCTACCACTAAACTAGAACCCTGCTCTTTTTATTAAAAAGTTTTGAGACAGGGTCTTGATAAGTTGTGCTGGTTGGCCTTGAATTTGTGATCCTTTGGCTTAGCCTCCCGAGTGGCTGAGATTGTAGAAATGCACCACCATGCCCAACTCATGATGGAGTTTCTGAATTAAACACTATTCAAATAATGAAAACCAAAGGACAGAGACCTTTAAAAGATATTAAATATTTCCTTTGGCTTACTGGATTTGCTACATTTAGTCCTTAATTCATACTGTTGTGTGGGGATTAAAAGAATTTGTAATTCAAGTGTTTTGAGTTTACAAAAAACCATGTCAATGAAATATTATTGGAACAGAGTGGTGGGGCATTTCTCCTGACTTCTTCAGATTTGGAAGGTGAAAAAATGATACAAAAGAGAAATTCCAGTAGCTACCTCAAAATTAACTAACATGAACAAGATCCTTTGTTGCTGTTTCTAATACTATATTTATAAATACTAAAAATTCAGATGTGATTCCAATTCATTCATGATTTTTTACCTTTGAGAGCTAAGTTTAGCATATCACCAGCACGGAAAGAAATTTCTTCTTCGGATACAGCAGCAAAATCATATTCTGCTCTAGCAACTACATGGTCATCCTCACCATTTGCCCAGTTGATGTTGTCTATAAGCCAAATTAAGAATTTAAGTTAGTAAAACATGCAAAAGGAAAATGTAGATCTTTTACTGTCTATGGCTTATAATTGCATAAATATAAATTGCATAAATTCATTTACCAAGAAAAAAGTCTTTCATTCCCAAATAAATTTTATAGTGAATGCTATGTTAACTAAACAGTGTATTCACTAGGCTATTTCTTATGAACTTTATCCTTTTTGTTAAGTTGAAAATTCTAGCCCCCTTGCTTTAAGACTTTTAGATTTTGCAGGCCAAAAGGAAATACAGAATGTTATAATGAAATCCAAAATTGTAATAATGAGTTTTCTTTCTTTTTGGAAGGGGGTAATATAATTCTACTACTAAGACAGATGGAATATTTTGGGGTGAGGGTAGTATTTTGCTTCATTTGGACTAGACTGCAATATTCATTTGTTAATGCTACATTAAATGAGATTTTAGGCATTTCATCTTTGTCAGTGTCTTTTCACACAATAGGTACTGCCAAATCCTGAAACCGATTCATTCATGAGCATGTGGTTTTAATTAAACATATGTATTATTTGGGAGATTATAGTCTAGAATATAATTCTGTCAAATTCTTCCCTTGATTTTGCCTTTTACCAAGTCATTACATTGCAGATTAATCACTTTATGAATAAAGACTAAGTGCAAGCTCCTCAATTACACAGTTAAATGGATTCCTAAATATGGAATTTTTCTTTGCATTGGAAGTCTAAAAGTTACTTCAGGCATTGTAGTTTGAGTTTGGAAAATATATCTGCTGCAAATTTGTGTGTGAATTGAGATATCACTTCTTATTTTAATTTCTGACAGTCTGGGAGATGTATAAAGCAGTGACATTATTTGTAATTCAAATAATGTGAGCACTGTCAAAATAACTTTACTCCAGTGTAAGTTTTTACACACAGGTACTATTCTATTTTATGGTTTATGTTTAATTCATTAAGAATATTATAAGTTAATAGCAAAAGTTTATTGTTAAAGCCATTTATGTTTAATAATGGTGACTGAAGATGGTTTTGTTTAGGAAAATTTCAACCTTGGCCTCAATTAAAAAATAAGTAAATAAAACAACCCCTGTTAAGCTTCTGAACTGCTGTATAGTAGGTAAAGTCAGAATCTTCAGTTTCTCCATATGAAAAATTTACATAACTAATAATAGTTATATCATAAAAGTAAATAAATTTTAACTTGATACTATTTATTCAATAATACCTGATAAGTTCAAATATTTTCTGCAATATCCCTGCTATAAATTTTGTCCAGATAATCTGCCTTCTGCTCCACCTATATTTTCACACCATCAAGTGCAATACATCTTAGTAGATTCCACCTCAGTTGAATTAGTGTTTTAATTCAACTATTTTTGCCTGTAGTTACACCACATAATATTCACTGAGGCTAAGTCACTTCAAATTCATTCATATTCCTCAAAACAAACAAACAAACAAACAAGAAAAACAAAATAACAAAAAACTCAGCACTATCAGCATCTATCCGGTCATTACAAGTTAAGGAAAAACATTCAAATAACTTGCACTTTCTTGTTTTCTAAGTGCTGGAGATTAGACCCAGGGCCTTGTACATGCTAAACGCATACTCTACTACTGAGCTATAGCCTCAGTCCTTCATTTGCTTTAAGTTGGCTATGCTGTTCCAAATGCTATTAACTCTTCAAGAAGTTGTTCCTACTGAAAGCAAGTAAGTCTTTAACGTTAACTTTTTCTGGACATATTTCTTGGCAGTTGTAATCACCATCAGTAAACAGCTTTTCCTGATTGGCTAACAAATGAACTTTTCAGAAAGTTATTTTAATTGCAGCCTCATTTTCCTTTTCCTTTTTTGTGGGGGAGGGTAAGGAAATTTGCTATGATAACAGATTTCTATTTGTAAAGTTCCTACTGTTTCTGAGTGTTGATTTTGTGAATAGTGCTCAGTCTGGTAATGATGTACATTATATTTATTTTAAAAAGCTAGAGTGTCACTGCATAATAAGTAGTGCTTTACCATCTAATTCAATAACAAAATAATCCATAAATACATGACATCAAAATCTACTTTTCTTATGTGTCAAGTAAAAAATTTGTGAAAAAATTTTGTGTTGTAACAATATATGTGGCACTCTACATGCTATCAAGTTGTAACTAATTAGGAAGATCTGTAATATACAGAAAAGAATATGAAGCAATGAGAGTATCACAGATGGTCTCTGTGAAAACTACTCAACTCTGCTCATATAACTAGAAAATAACTAGATCAAAAAGTAAATACAAATGAATAAAAAGAATGTTAATTTAACAAATCTAACACAAAAAGCAGCCATAACAATATATACAATGAGTATGGCTGTTAACGATAAAACTTTACTCAATATGTGCTAAGATTTGAATTTCAAATCATTGTCAAATCAGAAATTTTTCGATTTAAAAATATTTCTTTAAATTTCTTCCAATTATTGAAAAAATATAAAAAAATTCTTAACTTATGTGCTATACAAAAACAGGAGCAGGCAAGATTTGGTCCATAGGCCATAATTTGCAGACCCCTCTTCTAAGTAGGCAAAGTCATAGGACCCAAGTTTCCTCCATTTCATTTACAAAAATCTCTTTGTATCATGACCCATTTCCTCTTCTTTTGCCCCTGCTTTTTACCTGTTTCCTTAGATCTAGATCATATTCTCTTCTACCTCCTATAAAAGGCTTTTTCATCCTCTGTCTCTTCTTGATCTCTAATCACTCCTTCTCTACTGACTTCTTTTACCCTAAAAACATACTTCAGATCTAACTTTAAATTCCTAAAAGACAAAACAAAAAGCTGAAAATAACTACATTGACAAACTATTCTTCTCTTCTATTCACTGTTCATCTTTCCTTTTAAAATTTGAGTTTATTTATTTATTTATTTTGGGTACTGGGGCTTGAACTCAGGGGCACTCAACCACTGAGCCACATCTCTAGTCCTATTTTGTATTTTAGAGAAAGGGTCTTACTGAGTTGCTTAGTGCCTCACTTTTGCTGAGGCTGGCTTTGAATTTACGATCCTCCTGTTTCAGCCTCCTGAGCCATCGGGATTACAGGTTTGGACCATCATGCCTACTGAGTTTATTTACCCCTTCTGCCCTTCAAAAGTTTCCATCTTGGGCCTAGCATGTTTGAGGCACTGAGTCCGATTCTCAGCATTGCATAAAATAAAGGTCCACTGACAACTAAAGAAAAAAAAACCCTATCTATCTATACATATATATAAAATAAAAAAAAGTTTCCATTTTTTCCACTCTACCAAAACTACCTGCTGGAGCTTGATGTCCTCCAACTACCAAATCTAATGATCTTTTTTCAGTTCTCATTCTTATTATAGCACTTGATATCATTCATGATCTTTCTTCCTGATCTTAAAACTTCCTCCTTCCACTTTTGGTTTTATAATGCAGCAATAACATGGTTCTAATTTTGTTCTTGGTGATTTCCATCTTACCCTCAGTTATGGTTTAGTATGAGGTGTCTCCCAAAAGCTCATATGTGAGACAATGCAAAAGGATTAAAAGGTGAAATGTTTGGGTTATAAGAGCCTTAACTTAATCAATTCATTAATCCACTGATAAGGATTAACTGGGTGGTAACTGCTGGTGGGCAAGGGTATGGCTAGAGGAAGTAGGTCATTGGGGGCATGGCTTTAGAGTTTATGTTTTGTCCTGGTGAGGAAAGCTAAGTTTCCTGGTAACATATCCTGAGCTGCTTTCCTCCACCACACTCTTCTGCCATGATGTGTTGTCTCTTCTTTGGCCCAGAGCTATGGAGCTGACCACCTGTGGACATGGGCACCAAATAAATTTTTCCTCCTCTAAAATTGTTCTTGTCAGGTATCTTGGTCACAATAGCAAAAAAGCTCACTAAAACATCTTCTCTTCTTTCTTATTTTTTTTACCATTGTAATATAACCCACTTACTATTTCTTCTATCATTTCTTTTTTTTTTTAAAAATCTTTATTTTTTAATTTGTTTTTATGTGGTACTGAGGATGGAACCCCGGTCCTCACATGTACTAGGTGAGTGCTCTACCACTGAGCCACAATTCCAGCCCCTTCTTCTATCACTTCTATGTACATGACTCATATATCTTATTTTTTACTTCTTTCCTAAGATCCTATCCTGCCTTTTAAACTGCTCTCTGAAACTTTCTCAAGTTCCACTTAAATGCTCCATTGACACATCAAACTCATTAAGTCCAACCCCTGTATTCTTCCCCCCTTGCCTCTTCCGACTCTCATTTTGTTACCACTATGCTGACCTTACTGTTCACCTGTTGGGCCAGGCACACTGTCACTTAAATACCTTTGCAATTTTGCTGCTCACTATGCCTCAAACACTTTTCTCTCAAATAGCTGTAGGACTTATTCCCTCGCCTCCTTCAGGGAACCCTCTTCTGACTATATGTAGCAATGTAACCTCTCTTCTTCCTCCTGATACTCCCAAATATTCTTGCCTGCTTTATAATTATTATTTTTTCCTATAGCACTTATTACCTTCTGGTTTACTATAAATTTTATTTGTTTACTGTCTCCTATCATTAGATTGCCACAAGGGCAGGATTTTTCAAAAATTCATCTTTTATTTTTTAGTGGCACTGGGATTGAATCCAGAGCCTTGAAAATGCCAGGCAAGTGCTCTTCCACTAAACCACATCCCCAGCCCTTCTTTTATTTTTTATTTTGAGACAGAGATTTGCTATAAGTTGCTCAGTTTAGACTTCAACCAACAAAATAAAACAAAAAACAAAGAAACAAAAAACTACCAATAAACCCCAAATGAAGTAAGATCTTCCACTAAGCTTCAACATAATTTCTCAACCTTATTTCTTAGCATCCTTCTATTCAAGGATGAATAGGACAGCTAATACACGACAGCTGCATAACAAATCTCTTATTTTCTGCCTATGTGCCTTTTACAAGCTGTTCCATCTGCTTTGACAGTATTTTAACCCCACCTATTTTGTGTGTGTGTGGTAATGGGGATTGAATCCAGGGCCTCATGCAAGCTAGGCATGCACTCTCTCACTGAGCTATATCTGCTGACCCCCATTCCCCCTTTCCTTACTAACGGATGAAATGTTATCTATCTTTCAAAAACCTAAGGCAAATGCCATTTCTTCCTAGATAGTAGGGCCAAAAATATTAGCTTCACTTTTCTAGCACTTTGTAACAGTTCATAGAACATGGACTTAATAGTCAAGCAGCTTGGGTTTTGTTTCTGGTTCTGCCTTATTAAAGATGTGACCTTGGACAGGTGATTTCTCTGAACCTCAGTTTTGCCACTTGTAAAATGAGAATAAGTCTTACTTTTGGATTTTTGAAATAATGAGATTATAATACAGAAAATACCTATGTATGCTGCATATAAAAAGAGGCTCGAGAAACTTTATATTTCTCCTTAACTGTCCTAATCCCTACTACACTTTGTCTCATTATAATTACCTGTATGTATCTTTTTTTAAAAAAATTTTTAGTTGTATTTGAACACAATATCTCTATTTATTTATGTGGTACCGAGGATCGAACCCTGTCACATGCGAAGCGAGGTCTACCACTGAGCCACAACCCCAGTTACTGTATATGTATCTTAATCAGTTCCCTCCCAAAGTTTTAGAAAAATAGGGATTATGCCCTATGCATCTTTTGTATCCTCCACAGTACCAAGTTCAGTTCCTTGTAAATAGTATTTAGGAAATGTATGTTAAACTGAACTAATACTAAATTGGCAAATTTGTCTTTGTGACATTCCTTTTCTAATTTTGAAGTTCTTAATGGAAAATAACTAGATCAAAAAGTAAATACAAATGAATAAAAAGAATGTTAATTTAACAAATCTAAATTATATGGTTGTATCTCTAGCTGTCAGAGAAATGCAAATCAAAACCACCCTTAGATACCATCTCACTCCAGTAAGATTGGCAGCCACTATGAAGTCAAACAACAACAAGTGCTGACGAGGATGTGGAGAAAAGGGTACACTTGTACATTGCTGGTGGGACTGCAAATTGGTGCGGCCAATTTGGAAAGCAGTTTGGAGATTCCTGGGAAAGCTGGGAATGGAACCACCATTTGACCCTGCTATTGCCCTTCTCAGACTATTCCCTGAAGACCTTAAAAGAGCATGCTACAGGGATACTGCCACATCGATGTTCACAGCAGCACAATTCACAATAGCTAGACTGTGGAACCAACCCAGATGCCCTTCAATAGATGAATGGATAAAAAAAATGTGGCATCTATACACAATGGAGTACTATGCAGCAATAAAAAATGACAAAATCATAGAATTTGCAGGGAAATGGACGGCACTAGAGCAGATTATGCTTAGTGAAGCTAGCCAATCCCTAAAAAACAAATACCAAATGTCTTCTTTGATATAATGAGAGCAACTATGAACAGAGCAGGGAGGAAGAGCAGGAAGAAAAGATTAACATTAAACAGAGACATGAGATGGGAGGGCAAGGGAGAGAAAAGGGAAATTGCATGGAAATGAAGGGAGACCCTCATCGCTATACAAATTACATATAAGAGGTTGTGAGGGGAATGTGAAAATAAACAAGGAGGGAAATGAATTACAATACATGGGGTAGAGAGAGAAGATGGGAGGGGAGGGGAGAGGGGACAGTAGGGGATAGGAAAGGTAGCAGAATACAACAATTACTAATAGGGCATTATGTAAAATTGTGGATGTGTAACCGACGTAATTCTGCAATCTGCATTTGGGGTAAAATTGGGAATTCATAACCCACTTCAATCTAATGTATGAAATATGATATGTCAAGAGCTTTGTAATGTTGTGAACAACCAATAAAAAAAACAAAATTAAAAAAAAAAAAACAAAAAACAAAAAAACAAAAAAACAACCCCTATCTAAACCCTGGTGATCACTAATTTGCTTTTTCTTCGTATAATTTTGTCATTTCAAGAATTTGTATGAGTTAAATCCTGCAATGTGTATTTTTTTGAAGTTGACTTTTGTATTCAGCATAATTCCCTGATTTGTTAATGATTTTGTCAATATTCTTGCATGGAGTATTGGCTCCTTGTTACTGTTGTGTAGTACACTTTGTGTAAATGTACTAAAGTTTGCATTATCATTGCCCTGTTGAAACAAAAAAAAAATTAAATAAATAAATAAATTATATGGTTGTCTGAATCTGTTCCCTTATTCTTACCTGTTACTTCATCACTGTGGGTAGATAAAAGTTTCCAGATGAGATAAGGACCTCCGAGGATAACAGCAAAAAACAAAAATATTGGCCAAGATTTTGCTGAGTTAGCTGCTTGGTCCTCTGCACCAAGACAAGCCACAGTTCCTTCACTTTCTGCCCACAGGTCCTCATTCTCAGAGCCTCTTCTTAAACCCATCATCCACTGTAACCGTCTATAAAGATATCTTATAGTCCTAACTAATGCAAAAGCTGAAAAAACCTTTGTAAAGTGTATTTTTAATCGGGAGAAGTGATTTGCTACATCCAATACAGCCCTAAAACTGTTATAGACAGCTGAAAAAGTAGCATCCATCATCATACTGACAGAGGCAAAGGCATGTACAATACTTTCAATGGACTGAAATGCACCTCTGCTGCTTTCTTCAGCTTGCTGAACAAATCTACTGGGTGGAAGATCATCTACACGGAGGCGGTTATAGCCCAACCCATTATATCCATAACTATAAGGACTATAGCTTCCATAAAATGAATTTCCATAGGTGCCATATCCAGACGAAAATGAACTGTATGCAGGTCTGAAAGTGTTCACACTGCTGCTTCCTGTCTGCTGTGATGGCCTTGGAAGAATAGGTGGGGGCACTCTGGTAAGTGTTGGTTGTCCAGGTCTTGTCAATAAAGCAGGACCCAAGTCAGCAGATCTAAAACCAAGAATTATTGAAAACAGTTACTTAAGCACACAATAAATTAAATTCAAAGTAACTATTAAACATCTTCTATATATTTGTTTAATAAGCAGTGTTATGACAGATTCTACGTAAGGATGTTTTAGGGAGTAGTTACCCTTTATCTGTGATTTTGCTGTCTATAGTTTCAGTTATCAGCAGTCAATGGTGATCAGTATAGTACAATATTTTGAGAAACAAAGAAAGAGACCACATTCACATTATAATATATTGTTAAAATTCCTCTTCTAATTATTATTTATTGTTAAGCCCTTACTGTCCTTAATTTATAAATTTAACTTTATCATAGGTATGTATAGGATTTGGTACTATTTGTGGCTATAGGTTGTCCACTGATAGTCTTGGAATGTAAAGTAGGGGGACAAATTTAAGGATTAGTCTCTAATAGCCAGATGCTAAGAATCTCATTGCCAAAACAAATTTAAAAGAGGCTGACCAAACTTTATTTTCCTGTTCAGTTATTCTGACATTATTATCTTCAATCTGTGCCTTCTTAAGACTCTCACCCATTTCTTAAGATTAGTTACAAACAAATATTTGTCCATCCTTGTACCAAAATGATACTATCTTAATTATTATAGTTTAATAATAGGTTTTAAAATATATTTATTTTTTAGTTGTAGTTGGACACAATATCTTTATTATTTTTATGTGGTGCTGAGGATCGAACTCAGGTCCTTGCACGAGTGCTCTCCCGCTGAGCCATAATCCCAGCTCTTAATAATAGGTTTTAATATCCAATAAAAGAACGTCTCCCACATTGTTCATCTCCAGAATTGTTTTGGCCATTTGAGCCTTTGCACTTCCATATAAATTTTACAATCAGAGCTTCAAGTTCTACATCCCTCCCACCAAAGCCTATTGAGATGCTGTTAGAGATTATATGGAATCAACAGGTTAATCTGAGATGAATTCAACATCATTATAATATTAAATGTTTCAACCACAAATATCATGAAAACTATATTACTGAAGTCTTTTAAAGATGTTTCTCAATGTTTTAAAAATAACTTTAAGTCTCAATAATATTTTAGTGTTTACTATGTAAAAGTTTTTAAAGATTTGTTTCTAAATATTTGCTTTTTTGATGCTATTATAAATGGTATCTTTCTAAAATCATTTAGTTGCTGTTATATAGAAAAATGAATTTTCAAATATATGGTCCTTGTATCTAGCACCTTTGTTTTGGATCCTTTTATATTTTCTAGAATATCTGAAGTCACATCACATATGAATAATGATAGATTTATAATTTCCTTTTTTATTTTTTATATATATATATACACACACACACACACACACACACACACACACACGTGTCTGCCTATCTCTCTCTCTCTCTCTCTCTCTCTCTCTCTCTATTTATTTTTGTACTGGGGGTTGCCTGGCTTAGTTGCCTGGCTTAGCTCTGTGGTAGTGACTTAGGCAAGTCTCTCCCACAGAGCTACATGTACATCTCTAGGCTCCTTTATTTTATTTTGAGACAGGGGCTTGGCTAGGTTACTCAGGTTGGCCTCAAACTTGCAATTTTCCTGTTTTAGCCTCCCAAGTAGCTTGGAGTTTAGGCATGCACCACTGTACCTGGCTTTCAATTTTACAGGTTTGACTTACATCCTTGTTTCATTCTGACTTCAAAGGGAGAGTTTTCAATGTTATCATAAATTATGATGTCTGCTGTAGTTTTTTAAAAAAGAAATTTAGTAGTTTTCTATTGCTATTTTTTTTTTTACTATGAATGAACACTATTTTTTTTGCCATTATACATGTACTCTTTTTTGTATTACAATTCTTAATACACATATATACCACAAATTTTCATATCTCTGTTTGTTTATAAGATATGTTGGTCCCAAATTCAAATCTTCATACATGTATTTTGTATAAGGATGACCACAGTCATCTTGAGAGATGCTGGGAAATCATTTAACGATTTAATGAGATGATTTCCCAGCATCTCTCAAAATGACTATGTGATGTTTAGCTTTTATTCTCCTAACATGGTATATTACATTACTATACAAATGTAAAAGACACCCTATGTTCCTGAAGTAAAACCAAATGGGCTACACTGTATTGCTGGACTTTGTTTGGACCTGGACAGACACAGAGGCTCATTCCATAGTTTGGCTATTGTGAATTGTGTTGTTATACACTTGGATACGCATGTATTGCTATAGTTTACTAATTCTTTAGAATAGTAGCTAGCAGGATTTTCTCCCATTTTGTAAGTTCTCTCTTCACATTGTTTCCTTTGCTGTGCAGAAACTTTTAAATTTTATGCCAATCCACTTCTTAACTCTTAAAATTATTTCCTCAGCTTTAGCGGTCTGAGAAAGTCATTGCCTGCCCTTATGTTAGGGTGTTGACACTATGTTTTCTCCAGCAGCTGCATGGTTATGGCCTAATTCTGAGGTCCCTGGTCCACTTTGAGTTAATAACTATTGTGCAGGGTGAGAGATAAGAATCAAGTCTCATTCTTCCACATAGGGATAACCAGTTTTCCTAGTGTTATTTGTTTAAAAGGCCTTTGGCACCTTTGTGAAAGATCAAATGCCTGTAGATATGTGCATTTGTCTATGTCTTTTATTCTGAACCAGTGTCTGTTTTATGCCAGTGCCATGCAGTTTTTTGTTAGTATAGCTCTGTAGTGAAATTTGAAATCAGATATTGTGATAGCTTCCGGCATTGTTTTATTGGCTGAGAACTGCTTTGGCTAGGATTCTTTTATTCTTCCAAATAAATGTTAGGACTTTTTCCAAGTTCTGTGAAGAATATCATTGGCATTTTGATGGGGACTGCATTTAATCTGTTTATTGTTTTTAGTAATGTGTCCATTTTAGCAATATTAATTCTGCCTGTTCATGAACAGAGGAGGTCTTTCCATCTTCTTGTGTTGTCTTCAATTTCTTTCTTCAATGTTCTATAGTTTTCATTATAAAGATGTTTCACTTGGTTAAATTTATTTCTGGGTATTTTATTTATTTTTTGAGGCTACTGTAAATGGGATTATTTTCCTGATTTCTTTCTCAGCAGATTCCTTATTATTTAGGGAAGCTAACAAGTTTGTATGTTAATTTTGTAATCTGCCACTTTGCTGATTTAACTCTAACAGTCTTCTGATGGAACTTTTTAGTTCCTTTAAGTAGAGATTCATCTGCAAATAGTGATAATTTGACTTCCTCCTTTCCCATTTTTATTTGTTTCTTAAAATTTGCTTCTTTTGTCTAATTTGCTCTGGCTAGTATTTCTTATACTATATTGAATAGGAGTGGTGAGAGTGGACATCCTTATCCTGTTCCAAATTTTAAAGGAAATTCTTTCAGTTTTTTTCCCTTTTAGTATGATATTCAATGTAGGTATGTTGTATCTAGCCTTTATGATGTTGAAATAAGTTACTTTCATGCCTAATTTCCGATTTTTTAAAATCATGAATGGGAATTGAATTTTGTCAAAGGCTTTCTCTGTACCATTAAGATGATGGTGATTCATAAAATACTTGGGAATCAACCTAACAAAAGAGGTGAAAGACTTATACAATGAAAACTACAGAACCCTTAAGAGAGAAATTGAAGAAGATCTTAGAAGATGGAAAAATATACCCTGTTCATGGATAGGCAGAACTAACATCATCAAAATGGCGATATTACCAAAACTTCTCTATAGGTTTAATGCAATGCCAATCAAAATCCCAACAGCATTTCTTGTAGAAATAGAGAAAGCAATCATGAAATTCATATGGAA